AAGCTCTCTTATAGTAACAAATATAAGAATAAATAAGAAATGCTTGTTTCATTCAGGGATTCAAGCAGCTGGACAAATGGCCAGTAGGAGAAGCTAGGGCAGGGGTCAGCAACCCGCAGCTCCAGAGCCACATGTGGCTCTTTCATCCCTCTGCTGCAGCTCCCCGTCACTCAAAATATGCGTCACAACTGCCAATGTGCGACACCCACCGGCACACGATTTATTGAGCTTTTCGACCCCCGGGAGGCCATACATCCAAGAAAAGAAAAGTTTCAGAAGACCACAGAACATTTAATTGTACGTGGGCAGCTTCATTTGGTTTCACTGCTCATGAGCCTGGTTTACCAATATGCTTAATATGTGGTGAGAAATGGGCAAACAACAAAAAGTTGAATGTTGCAAGACTTCCAGAATAAACACACAGCCTTTGCTGAAAAATATCCGGATGGAGACGAGAAAAAAAGCCATTTCAGAACTGATGTGGAAGTTTGATCTGAGCAAAAATCATTTCAAGAAGTGGATTAAGTCTGCAAAACATATGCTAGTTTTGTGGCCGCTCAGGAAATAGTCAGGCACGGGAAGCCATTCACAGATGGAGGTTATATAAAAAATCATTCACTGATTTCATAAATGCAACACACTATAGTTTTTTTTATACATAGCATAAAGGTAAAAAATGATGTATGCAGTGTTATCTTCATTTTAGATGTCAAAAGGGTTTTGTGGATCCTGGTGTTTTCTTTTCTGTGGGAAACGGGTCCAAATGGCTCGTGTTTAAGGTTGCTGACCTATAGTTTAATTTATACAGGAGACAGCAGGAGACAGCAGGAGCTTTCTAGAGAAACTCTATAGCAGATGTTGCCTAAACAGGAGAGCTGGATACAACATAACTCAGAGGGACAAGGAGCAAGGGTCTATCACTGTGTTGTTAAGAATGCTTGTCATAGGATCATCCAGAAAATTTGACCATGCTCAAGTATTAGGCAATTAATATCAAGCAGGGTTTTAACTCTACATTTTTTACTCTGCTGTTCCTGAAATGCAGCACTCCTGGTATCTTTGCTGAATTTCTATAAAGCAAGCAGAGGGAATTACAAAAAAGGCTAAAAGCAGAGGGACAATAGTATGATTTCACTGAATTTCTATCCTGCCGTTTTCCCCTTGTAAGGAATCCAAGGCAGTTTACATATTCCTCCTCCATTCCATTTTATGTTCACAACAGCCAGCTTAGTAGCTGAATTAGGGTGAGAGTAAGTGATGGGGCCAAAGTCCAGCTAGCTTCATGGCTGAGTGAGGACTCAAACTAGGATCTTCCAAGTTCCCAGTCCAGCACTCCAGCCACAATGCCACACTGGCTTTCTGCATGTTCATACATGCAACTCAAGCTTCCATAACATTGTTCTCTGTAGCTCTTCCCACTTCTGCAGAGGCAAGTCATATCTGGAGATGAGAAATAGTATGCTTACTCAGGTGTGGGAGAAGGTACTGTAGAGAAACTACAAAGAAAAAAAACTGTTTCATTTCTGATTCCTCCTTTGACAGTTATTGAATACTCTTTGTTTGAATCATGGCCTCTTGATATCAAATTTCTATTTTTCTGAGATAGTTTTTCATTATTTAGAACTCTGGAAATTGAAGTGACTCTCGCAAGGCAAAATACATTTCAAACAGTAAAATGTTGTGATATATAAATACAATACTTCTAACAAGCATTTGCACTTGTATTTCTTCTTCAGACTGAAGAAAATCATATGCAAGTATTTCCATACTAGTGTAAGAATGGCCAAGCAAATGTCAGATGAAATTATATGCTAACAAGGGCACTCTGATGAAAATATTATATATATGATAGGCTTTTCATTTAACTGTTATTATTCAAAAAGATTCCTGAGTCATGGTGTCTAGTTAACTGAAATCAGTTCATTTTGTTGCATCCACTGAAAGGGGCAAAACAAACTGAGCTGTGAAGGAAGAGATGAACATTGTAGAAAAATTACTGTAACATGCCTTTTACTAGTGGCCCCACATACTGACAACATGATTGTTGATTGTTCCCATCAACTCAGTAATTCACAAAGCATGAAACAGTTCAGAGAAAGATCATGGCAAGCACTGTACAATGAAACATAAAAATGATTGAGACAAATTAGAAAAAATATAAAGGTAGCTAAGTTCTCACCAACACTGAAATTAACTTGAAATTTAAAATAACTTTCCATATAGTATACAAATAGTAACAGAATTACTAACACACGGATTAGTGGTGTATGCACTTTCAAGACCTCACACTTATACCATTAACCTACCAATTAGTAAAACATCCAATAATTATTTCCCCTCTTTTCTTCACTCTTTGTCTTGTCTATCCTAATGTTTATTGTACTCCAACTGTGGGTGACATGCAAACACCACATAGATGTTAACAGTAGTGTATTATTGCTTTGTGCTTTTAATTTTTTTTTTTTTTTTTTTTGATATGTAAGCCTAGGAATCCGGATAAGGTTTCTAGGCTTAGCTATTTACTGGCTACATTTCCATACTGCTTAATAGTTGAAACTCTTTGGGAAGTTCACAAGATTTAGTTAAAAGCAACAAAAAAGCAATCGCCATATACAATCTAACTAAAAAATTCTGACACTGTTCTAAAAAAAAGGATAAATAGGGGTTGAAAAGACCTGAGCACAGCCATCTGGTGAGCCTTTCTGCTCAGGATGTTCCAGAATCAAAGCACTACCACTGAAGGGGGCCTATCTCAGTTAGCCACCTGCCTTGCCTTAGTTGATGAGGGCACCTGGAGAAGAGCCTCAGAAGATGACCTTAGGCCCAGGGTACAAATTGAGGTGTTTCTTGAACCAGTTAAGGCTTTAAAGGTTGATACTAATATTTTGAATTGGCCCCATTAATACACTTGTAGCTAGTACAGATAACAGGACACCAGCATAATGCAAAAACATTCACATAACTCAGGGTGGGAATCCACATCTTTCACGCCAGCTACACCTTTCCAAACAAACCTTCATTTTTGCTCTCTGTTATCATCTACTCGAGCCATCTCACAATTTTCAATCCCTTCCTCTTCTCTACATTCATGATTTCAAAGGGCCCTCTCTTTTCTGGGGCCATAACCATGTTTCTGTATCAACCTCTCCCCTCATGGATCAAGAAATAGTAGGGAGAAAGCAGAAAGAGGAGGAAAGGGGCATATAAGACACACTAGAATATGTGTTGCAAGCATTTTTTCTCATATAAACTCAACATTCATCTTCTGAATCCAATAGACAGGCCAGGATCCAAAGTACTAATAATGGAATTTTTTATTTCTTACTTCTGAACATAAGACGACACCTCCCTATCTATCCAATTCAAACAGTTGTTTATGAAACTCCCCATGCTTTTGAAAGTAGTATGTCTATCATGGGAATGTGCTTTTGAAAATACGGAAAACAATCTAAAGTCCCTTAGGGCCCACAGAGTCTTTGGGTTCTTGCCATCCTAACAGAAAACTTAAGAGCTGACCAATGATTAACATTTCAAATAAAATTTCCATATGGAATACAAATATTCAAATAAGCTTGTCTTGTGTATACTTTCATAAATTTCATCTTGAAAAATCACAGCTGAAGCTATTTTTGTTCTAAATTCAAATCAATTCATTCTATATAAGATACACAGAGTAAGTAAAGGCAAAGCAGTTTTATTACTCTACAGTGTAATTCTTCATGTTCCTCTAAACAGCAACATTAATACTTTTATTAAGTCAAACAGTAAAAATGCAGACTTTCCTTTAAAAGAGTTTAAGCACTTACCTGCATGCTTTTAGAACTTCTGCAGAACTGGGATATATGGATACTGACATTGATGGTATGATCTGGGGATTAGGCTTGTGAGCACTAAGAGGAGGATTGGTTTTTACGGGGCTCTGAGAGTCCTCCAATGCCTCTCCATTAACTGCATGTCCACTGTGAGGGCTGTTAAGGCTGGTAACACTGTTTGTGGTAGTCTGTTCAGTAGATTTTGGAGAAGGTGTTGCTGTGGAAATGGCTGAGGATGGGGAGGAGGCAACAGAATTCTCAGTCTTTGTATGAACAGTTGGATGAATGTTATTGACTTTGTCACAGGTTCCAGTACCCACATTGTTATTGGCTTTTCCCATCAACAAGGCAGAGAGCTGAGGATTGTCTGAACTAAGTAAACCTGGTGACTTAGAATCTCCATGGCTAGGGCTAGAAACAGCATCTGCCGTCACCTGATGGACATGATTAGGAAGTCCTTCTACACTGGCAGTGCTGTTAGGTGTCTCTCCAGAATGCCTGTTTATGTCAGGCACTGCTGATGTGTTTCCTGAAGGCTTGCTCTCTTTGGTTAAGGTAATGCCTTGTTGTCCACCTGAGGTAGCAGTGTGAGAGGGGAGGTGATTGAGAGCAGCCCCCTGTGTTACTGAATTGCTAGGCATGGTAGGATGTCCATTCTGATTTTGAATACCAGTGCCAGCCGCCTGGAGATGCTGGGAAGGCCCAGTGGAAGAGAGAGGTCGTTCACTATTAGGACCTGCCAAATGTGAACTCTGACCTTTGTGAAGCCCCTAAAGAGAAGAAAAATGATTTTATTTATATATCTTTCTATTAATATAAACTTCATAGTCTTGACTATTTCTGGTTGCACAAAATATAGAAATAGGCACAAAAATATCAGGTGACTGAAAGATTCAAGATCAGACTATTCACCTGTTTTTCAAAGATTTCAACACTACATGTTAGATAAACAGGAAAATGTACGCAATCACAAAAGCAGTTTTGAAAATATAAAGTATCTGGAAAGAGAAGATCCACTTTTACCCTTTTACCTGCAATGGACCTGTAGATGCATTGTGACAACATCACCGAACTATAGATTGTGATGCACATTTTGGGAAAGAGCAGGAGAGGCAGCGCAGTGCAGATTCCAGAAACAGCATGACATTGGAACAGGTATTAACTCTTTCAGTTTACAATGGAAATTCGCTTAGGTGTCTTGAGGGCAATTTTTTTTTGCCACAGGCCTCTAAGCAAGTGGTTATTTGTAGAAAGTACAGTGGTACCTCGATTCACAAACGCCTCAGTACACAACCAAATCAGGATGTGAACAGAAATTTTGGCAAAATTTTGCCTCCGTGAACTCTGCATCGGGTGATGACCATAATTGTGGCCATGTTCCCACACGAACACGATCGTGGCCATTTTCCCCACATGAACACTCTAAATAACAACCTTCTCCCCACCCACCATGAGGGGGAGTCATGAGGACGTGCTCACCTCGGTTGAGGCCTTTCCGGCTCCTCGCCACCGACCCTCTTTCGAGCTGGAGGCAGGTTCCCTTGCAGGCACTCGCCCTGCTCTGGGAGGGGGAGCAGGAGGCCAGAGAAGCGAGAGCAGGGCAGCTCCCCTGGCCAGGAGAGGGCTGTGAGGAGGGAGGTAAGGGCTGCTTTCCATGGGCCAAGGCGAGGGGAGGTGAGGGACAGGGTCAAGGCTGGCAAAGCAGGGCGCCTCCCGCCTCTCCCCGCTGCGGGGGGAAGAAGCATGGCAGCTGCTCAGCGGCAGTGGCTTGCCCCGAGAAGGTCATGGCGGAGGTGCAGGTGTCACGGCCCTGCTCCCGCTCCTCCTTGGCCTGTCCGCCCCCAGGCTTGGCAAGGCAGCCATGGCTTTGCTTGCAGCCCGGGGACATGGTTCATATTTTTGTGGTTTAAAAAAATATTACGTATTTATTTAAACTTTTATATGCCATCCTTTATGTATAACATAAAGTTATGGTTCAGAATGGATTAACCTTATTTACATTGAACCTCATGGGGAAATTTGACTTGGTTCGTGACCAATTTGGGTCATGAACAGAAACGAATTAAGTTCGTGAACCAAGGTACCACTGCATCAAATTATTAGCAATATATTAATAAAGCAAACACCTTTAGGTCCCAATCAGCAAACTAGTAGATTGCAAGTAGTTATGCCATCTCTTCTTAATTAGAAAAAGTCTAATGGCTTAAAAATGATGGATATTTAAACCACCAGTGTTTCCTTTAATACTATAAATACCCATTCTTGAACAAATATACATACAAATCCAGATGAACCTTTTCAGTACAGTACAGTTCACATATATATCCTATGAATAAAACCTTCCCACTGAAGTAACTGGTTGACAAAATACTAGCAGCAAAAGTTTTACAAGAAAAAGTTACATTAAACATTTAATTTCTGATGCTGAAATGCTGACAGTTCAAAGGTTTTGAGGCAAACTAGTGATAATCTTTTTTGCCCCAAAAAGCAGTGTGGTGGAACACATTGTATACTTCCTTTTAAAGTGTAGCAGGTTTCAAGGACTACTTTCCATTCATTCCTGAGTTCAGGGAAAGGAAGATATTTATTTATTCATTCATTCATTCTAATTGTAAGCCACCCCTAATTGTAAGCCATTCTAATTGCTGGGAACAGGTTAACCCATTATATTCAAAAGCTGCACAAAGCTGTGGCTATTAGTATAATTTATATTTCAGATCTGTAGTAATTTAAATGCAATTTTGTTATAAAGTAGCTACACATGTAATAATGCCAAGAATGGTGGAAAAAGTAGTAGTCCTATCTATTTTTTTAAAAGTGAAAATTGATATAATGGTAAGAGCAAGAAAATAATCATGATTTGATGCCAATTAATATCTTATCAACTTGGATTGCAAACTTCCAAATGGCTATTGTTTACAATACTTTTACAAACTACAGGATAGAGAGAATACCTGCCCAGTCAAGCTCAACAGAATGGAAATGCAAAATAACCTGCATCTCTTTGCTTCTCCTGATATCAGAGGTATGTGGAAGACAAGGCACCAGCTTTTCTAGCCTCACCTTCATCAAACTGGTACCCCTCCAGATATTTTGTCATGCTGCTCCCAGAATACCTGTTCATTGGCCATGCTGCATGAGGTTGATGGGAAAGGAAGTCCAAAACATTGGGTGGGCACCAGACTGAGAAATGCTTTTCTAGCTTGTTATATAGCTAGCCATGATGTGCAGCCCACCTGCACCATTCCATGAGTGAACTGCTTTGAGAGTACAAACCCTGGTGCACTGCTATTGCTAGCAATTAGCAGCACATAGGACAACCTTGCAGAAAGGAGATAAGGATGAAAAGGGTAGATATAGAAGGACAAACAGACTGAAGGAATAAAAAGAGAGAACTGAGGAGTGGGTAATAAAGGATAAGGAGTTTGAGTGCAGTGTGGGGTGAAGTAAGAGAGGGAATGGTACTAGGAATGGGGGGGAAGGGAAGGGAAAAGTGATGAAAAAAGGTAACATGCAGCAGCTGAATGATTGTGTGCTCAGAGATTTGTAGCTTCAGGGGAAAGAAAGACTTCTGCACACAGAACAACAACAACAACAGGGCTACATAAATTCTGGGTGGGGAAACTTAAACAGAAGGTAACAGAGCTGGTTTTGTCAGCAATGGCAAAAAGGAGCAGAACATGTGACATGACATATAGAGGAAAGGGAAGGAAAAGTTGAGAGGAAAATGGAGAGAGGTATGAAAAGAGTTGTTTCACAGACCTGACATGGTGCAGGAAGTTGCAGAGACAAAGAGAGGGTTAACAAATGATTTTTAACATGTTGGAAAGAGCAGTAGTAACAACTAAAAGACCAAAATGATTGTTAAATCAGTATCAAACATAACAGAGGGGTTATAGATTGGAAACCATTTAAAAACACAATGGGAACATAACTTTTTCAGGTACAGCAGGAAAGTTCATTTACATAAATTTAAAAGTTAGTATATCTTATACTCTAAAATACTATATTATACTACTAGCACCTGAATAAGATAAGATCTACAGAAATAATAAATATGCTTGCTGAGATGTAATTAGCATATAGCAAAGACATTTTCATTAAGATTCAGATGGATATTAGTAGAATGACTAACAATTTACCATCAGACCCTCAAAGTACATTTACTTGAAATGTGCAATTCAAATTTATATACTAAAAATATTCTTCTCATATATTTTAATTTTTGCAAAATCTATAATAAGAAAAAAGGAAGAAATTCACAAATAAACCCCTAAATGTAAAAAGATGGGTTGAACAAGTCTGGCAATAGTGCAATTGTTATGTGAAATTGTAAAGTTAAAGGTTGGAAAAAAGTGCGAGCAAACATAATCATAGAGTGACATAATCTGAATATACTGGAGGTAAAGGTGCAACGCATACAGATGTTGTACAGTAATGCTACTTTCATATACAACTCTTGAAATGTTACTAACTTTACCATGTTGGAAAAGAAACACTCACCCTAGTATTGTCCAAACTAGCTAACAACTGAAGTTTTAAGAAGCTGTTTGCTGTTAGTGCATTCATCATTTCAGGTAACTTCCCTGAAGTTCTCTGAATAATCAATAAATGGATGCTTGATAATGTTATCAAAAAGGAATCTGAAGATAAGGTGATTCAAGATTTTCATGAATCAGGGTTATCCATGGGCTTTGGGGGCCTTTGATATGGCATCAGAACCCACAAGTGAGTTCTGCAACTACAAACACTACTCTGCCATGGACTTAAAAGTCCATAGGACTTAAGTCTATAGGGCTTAAAAGTCAATTTCACAGAAATCTACACAGGAGTTTCTGGACAAACCCACAATGCATGTATCTTCTGGAATTAGCTTAGACATTTCAGGAAGTCAACTTCTCCTCTGACAGGTAGGAACATATCAAAAGTGTAACCTGTGGCACTGTTGATCACTGCCCATCAGATACCTGCCATCAATTCTTGTCTACCTACAAGGCTTCTTGAATATCCATGGAAAAGAGTCACAATCTGAGCTGTTGCACTAAGCCAGCAGAAAATAATTTCTGAACAAAGGCCACTGTGTACTGTTGTAGATTGGGATTTTAATGTCTATAAGCCACCTAAAGAGCCCTCTAGGCTATTGAGGCAATATATAAATGCAACAAATAAATAATATAATGAAGTTACCAAATAAATAATCATGAAATCTTCTAAGTTTGAATCAATTCAGCAACACTCACTACAAATAAATAGCTCAACAGTGCTGAATGCTGAAACAGTTAAGTCAAATTTGACTTCCAAAGCTTTTCAGTCTAGGACTCCCTATTTAAGTTTTTCATACAGCTTCAAATTCTGCTACTTTGCTGGTAACTAGGAAAACTGACAAAGCAAATAACTGACCTCTGTGACTACATCATTTTCTAGTGGTGAGAATGCCATACTACATTAGAGTTAAACAGGCAAAACCAAAACAATAGCAGCAAGCTTTGTTTCAAAAAAGTAACAGCAATGGTGACTAACAATTAACTAGATACTTAAGCAACTGCACTTATGAGTTGCCAAATTAACTTAACAGGTATTCTATAGGATTGTCCTGGAAAAAAATATTCAGAGTTCCTTATTGTCTTAGAAAAGCAACTCAAGATTAGGACAGATCAGTTTTACTAAATTAGCCATATATTATTAAATTCTGTTATAGACCAAATGTCTGTATAAAAATATAACAAACATTTATATTAATTTCAATTTCATTTCCTTACAGCACAGCTTCAAATGATCTTTATGATCTTTCTACTTGAAGAATGTGACAAATACTATGCCAAAAAGTTACATTCTTGCATCAGTATTTTGCTTTGCTACAGCAGAAAGATATATTGCATACCTGAGTGGAGTTAGATAGTTGTTTTTTCCACGGCTCCTCTGCGCTGCTGGTCAGGTTTGTGCGGTTATGAGGTAGAGAGAGTGCGTTTCGCTGCAGGTAAGGCACATTTCCATTACTTCCACTTCCTGTTATGTGATTATTGCCTATCAAAATAGTGTCTGTACTACCCAGCGTTCTTGCTGTGCTGCAGGGAACTGAGCCTGCTGGAAAGGGTCCATTTGCCATAGGCTGCCCAGGGCAGGTTGGACGGATTCCATGCTGTGTGATGTTAGGCACTCTGGTTAGAGCAACCTGAGGCTGCTGACCAGAGACAGAGTTTGTAGGCAGTGATGAGTCAGCTGTTGGCCCATTAGCAATTCCAGTAGATCGTACCTGTGCAACTCCCGTCTGCCTCATCTTTTTAAAAAAAGAAATAAAATATAAAGGTTAGCCACGTAATTTACAGAATTGTGGTTTCCTCAAGCTGCTTTTATTCAAAACATATATGAATTAAACTAGAGAAATATTATACAGACACATATTTTGAGACTTTATACTCTCTCTCAATGGTGCTAGGCTCTGCACCCCCACCCCAAATCCAATACACAAAAAGCAGTTTCACATATTATACTCACACATAATGCTAACCCATGGTTTGCTGCCCTCACCAGGGTTTGTTTTTTCAATCCTTGCATTTCTTGCTTTCCTCCTTCTTCATGCTCCTATATCCCAAATGACTTCATGATGCTAGATCAGCTGTTTTTTTGTTTTTTGCACAATTCTTGCCCATTGCCTCTGGGCCAGCTCTTTTAGCACAACATTCCCCCATGAGCTATTTAACTAATGCTGAAGCAGCCATGCATGTGGCTGCCATTTTGAATCTTATGTAAATCTAGTAACAATAGGATATTTTAGAGTTAAATAATCTTCACATAACTCTAAAACAGACCGCTGTTTAACCCTTATAGAATGCACAGCTACCATATTCGCAAAATATTATACTCATGGATTTTGTACTCAGATACAAAATAGTTTTGCATTCATAAATATTTGTATACCTAACCATTAGGAGAATATATAATGTTTCTTCTATGAAGCACTGGAAAAAAGAAACCATCTTTCTTTTCCTCTCCCAAGAAGCCTAGAAGATTAATTATTATGGCAACAAAATTTGGCAACAAAACTGCATGAAGACTCAGAAGTGCCAAATGCAGCTTGTTTTCAGTGGCAAATCACTCTTTTTTTGGCAGCAGCACAATGGTAACAGCAAGATAAGGTGCACACGTGTGTGTGCAAATTGTCCTTTGGCCTCAAAAGTACCCAATGTTGCTGACTACCTAGAGTACAATGTTGGAGTCAGGAAGGTCTATAGAGGTCTATAAAGCTGGCACATTTGAGAAGGTTCTGGACCTAGAGCAAGGCCTCTAATGCTACATAGACACGCCCGTGCAAGAATATGGTTCTTAAATATAGAAGGTCCCAAACCAGTCAGGTCTCTAAAGGTCAAGCCCAATACCTTAAATTCACCTCAAAAACATACAGGCAGCAGATCAAACAAAACCAGGGTAAAATGCTCTAACTGGCCAATTCCAGCCATCAGTCTGAAGGCAGGATTTTGCATCTACTGAAATTTTTGGACTTGTTTTACAGGCAGTTCCATACACAGTGCTTTATTGCAGTCCTAGAACTAGGAGTCTGATAGTTTCATCTGCTGCTCCAGTGTCTCTGGAGAAAGGGTGAAAATAGATGTGGCATGTAATCAAGAAGCAAATTAATGTATGCTAACTTATCGGTCCAGTTTTTGTCTTTCTTACACAAAATCAGGGTAAGTTATTCTGGAAATGCAATATACATGGCTCCTGAGAATCTAAGCTCTCTAAAAGGAATCCTCAAGATAGTGAAAGTGGGAACTGCAAAGAAGATGGTTCATCCATCTGTGCTTTTATAATTTTCCAGATCGCCTTGTGAATTCTTGAGAAATTTTCACTGGTTACAAGTGGTCTAATGTCCAAATTCATGTAAATATCAGGGTTCAATTTAAATTAGTAAACAGCTTTCTCTAGTATATCTTTGGCTGAGTTCACACACTGCACTCATCTCAGGAAGAAACATACCATACTGACATACTACACAGGTATACTACTTATCTATCAATCATCTTGCAACAAGACCTTGCAGAATATTACCTCATTCCCCATCTGCCTTATCTGGGAAAGAATATGCCTAATGCTAGTGAGTGATCAATTACATAGCCGCTATCTCTTCTTCAATGTATACACTCTATACGGGTTTATCCTGTGGCTATTTACTAAGTATGCTACCTAAAAAACCCTCTTCATGCTGGCTTATCATTGACCGAGAAGCTTCTTAAAACAGTTTATGTATTCATTAGCATTAATGTTCTGCATTTATAATTTAGAACTCCAAAATTCAAATTTAAAATAAAGCTTAACATTGCATGAAAATATGATATTAGCAAAATGAGTGTCAATAACTCTCATGTGAACATGCAAAGAAGAGTTCTTTGCTATATTGGGCATTGTTTGGAAAAGAAACAGACTAATTAAATAGGACATAGACAGAACAGAAATAAATGTGTTTGCTGGCACCTGCTGGTGTTGCTGCATCAAGACAAACTGACTCTCCAGCTGTTCCAGCATAAGTTTCTGTGCTGGATTTAAATTATTTCTATTTGCACGCAGCTGTTCCAAGTGCTGGGGGAAAAACAAAACATGGTCCTTAGACTTCTAGCATAAGTTTATATTTGTTTATAAGTATGCATATGACCAAATATATGTTCTGAAAACATTTATTCATGAAGATATGCACACACTTAAGACCACAGACTCCCTTCCTTCAAACAGGTCATGCTAACTACTGACAATTCCATTTTATCTGCTCAAGACTTAATCTTCCAGCTAGAGGACATAAGACAAATATAGCTAACATTGATGATAAAGTTTCCCTTCAAAGCTCATGCTATTTTGCAAGGAATGGCACATAAGTACTTTGAGCAAACTGAGTTGATGGCTGTTATATATTCCCCATGAAGTTCCACAAAGGGTATTGCCCTTTGTCATTTCCCTTCCTAACTCTAACCCTTATTCAAAATAAGCAAGAACAGGCTTTTATTATACTCAGCAGCTCTATGATATTTTTAAAGACAAAACATAGTATGTAATGGCTGCTGTTTTGGCAAATGTTAACTGTATTTTAACATGGGAAAAGTGCAATTATTCAAATAAAAGATTTTTAAAATAATAATATTGTGTTTATATACTGCTTTAAATTAGTCAAAGTGCAAATTTAATGGCAGAAGGATATATTTTAACTGCAGCAAAAGCTTTATTCACATATCTCAAAAATATGAAAATCATTCATATAAAACTGCAAAAGCTTTTAATAAAGATTATATGTTAAAATGAAAATACACCCAAAGGAAAACTTGGAAATAGGACAGAAAATGAGATAGATATGATCATTGTGTGTGACCCTATGAACTTTATGAAAAGTTTACAAAAGGCTTTTTATAGATTTACCTGTAATTTCTGAGGTGTCAAGCACCAAGAATGTACTTGTTGCTGTACTGGAGGATGTGACACTGTGTGGCCACTGCTCCAAGCATCTAAAGTGTTCTAAGGAAAACATTAAAATTAAAAAATGAAGATGAAAGGATTTATTAAAGCTGACCACTGCTTGTCAAGAATATTTCCTTTAAAACAAGAAAGAGACACTACTAGATAAAATTCAACCTCAGTTAATATAATAACCATGGGAGAAAAGTAAAAGATAATCAACTGTGATGAAGAATTAAATAAAACCAAATGGTGGACTTTGAGGTTCATCAAAATTGCTTTTAGTTCTTGAAATACTGTTAATGTAGATGATTAAGCATTTAAATATACACAAAGGTGATAGACAAAATGGCATGATTCTTTTCCTAACCTGTGGTATACTGCTCTTACAGCTACTACAATTTTCAACTATTCCTAACCCAGTGTCACCACTGTGGACATGGCAACTCTATTTGTCAATTTAAAGAATTATCTGAATAATGAAGTGATGCTCTGGGATGTCAGATTCTTATAACTAACTTGGGCCTTTATATGAGGATATATACCTTTGTTGGACTAGATGGTCTTTTCCTCTTGACTGGACTGGACAGGTCATCTACATGGCTAGAAGGTATCATGTGTAGTGGCAACTGCTGTGAAATAGGTGTTTGACTGAGGCCTAGTACAGGTTCAGTATTTTGATGAGGTTTACAAGCCTAGGATTCAAAGGAGGAAGAAAAAATATGGTTCTGTACATTTAGAAATGCTCCTTAACCCATATGTTTTTTTTACCAGCTGCACATTTTAAAAAGGACTGTGTGGCTATTCTGATCTCATTTATTGAAAACCAGTCTCCATTGCATCAAAGGAGCAGTGTGTACCTTTCATGGGCTTGGTTTTAAAACAAACAAACAAACAAACAAAAAGCCTGCTGCATTTTCTATGTGGAATGAAATCTTTCTGATAATTATGAAAATCCACAAAGGTTCTAAATTGGTACCCCCATATTTCCTCCAAATCACAGGGAACCTATTCTTAATCTCCCTTTGCTAATTAGTCTTGTTACCAGTACAGCAAAATACGCTTGACTACTACAGATTGATCGAAAAGAACGCTTAAAAAGCTGGGCACCTGCAGAATATAACCCAACTTCTCACCTGCTGTGCTGTGTTCATGGCACCCTGCCTGGAGGTAAGCTCTGCGGGGATTGGTAGGCTCCATGCCTCCTCAATACTAGGAAGTAATTTAGTTTTATTCTGTAGACTACCTTGTGGTAGGTTACACAACTGAGCCTAGGAAAAATTATGTAAAAGGTAAATTTAACACAAGCCTAATTTAGTAAGATCAAGTCCATGAAGTCTTCCTAAATTCTGTACTCTATTGTGTCTTAGAAAGAATAAATTTCAAATCTGGGGTTTCAGAAAGTGCTAGGGATAAAGAGGGTAACCAGGATATAAACCTTTGTGAGAATCAGAACAGAGTTGAGCTCCAATTTCAGAGATCTCATTAATACTTTGGTTCTGAAATTGCAAACAAGAGCAAAAGATAGTGTGTGTATCCTCTCACTAAATGCTATGATAAGTTAAAATGTAGACAACACAAAATATGCATAAATTATATTAAGATATAAAAAAACTAAATTACTTAAGAAATACCCACTTAAAATGAAAAAGAAAATGAAACTGCAAGCTATGTTATGTTTAGAATGTATATGGAAACAGATTGCAAACAAATTAATGAAACAATCACATATTACAACATCTATGTCCTTATCTTCCTCCTTCTCCCTACTTTAAGTCACTGTTAAACAGTGTCCTACGCCCAGAGGCAAGTTTTTTACCTGTAAATACTTTATCCGTGCTGCAAGTGCAGAGGTATTACTACAATTTTTGCTTCTGGTTGCATTTAAGTAGCATTTAATGGCATCCTGAGACTGATTGCAGGACTCATAGAGGGTGCCAAGATCCATCCAGGCTGCAGCATGGCCATGGTCCAATTGTACAGCACAGATATAGGCCTGTAATGCATCCATAGGTTGATTCTGCTGCTGATACAGCACACTGAAGAGAAAGATTGATACAAATACTGTTAATGGATGAAAAAATCTCATTCAGCTCCATGTGCCTCTAGAGCACCATAGGTTTAAAATGTCAATTTGCTATAATGAAGCACATGGAAGATCCTCAAACAGCGATTTAAACAGGAATTTGTACAACAGCAATGCTTAGTTACTTAGGTCTATGAGCCAGCGATAAAAATTATTACAAATGTTTAAATGCACAACATTTTAGACCTGAAAGCATATGTAGCAACCATGAAATACTCTTAAAAGAGTTCTTACTTGTATGTTTATATTATAAAATACCACAAATGTAATAAGCCATCTTCTTCAAATATAATGCATGTTGTTACATTGTTTCTCATTTAATTTCTTACCCTATAGAACACCATGTGTCTGCACTTGCTTCTGATTTATCAATAGACTGCCTATAAGATATAAAGGCATCCTGAACTTTGCCAATACTTGAAAAACACCTGAGGGAAAAGAAGATTGAGAGAAGTCTGTCTTTAGTCTCAGAAGATTAACAAACATATTGCAAAAAATCTACTGGATGGAATTTCATATACCCTGTTTATATTAAAACTTCAGGAGAAAAACTTCAAGATAAAATAGCTTTAAAAATGGTAAAAAATGCAACCTGTAACCACTTGTAGCATTTATTCAGCTGTTTACATAGTTGTCACTGTTAAGCAAAACATGAAAAGCCAGGATAAACTGCTGCAACAAAAACAAACCCTAAAACAACCAAAAATGGATCACTTCATTCAATCTTTTTATGTTTATTTTCCCCTTGGCTAAATGGAAAGAATCTGCTTTCCATCTCCATAACTGAGATCTAATGTAGATGGCAAACATGGACTTGGGTTCACGAGTTCCTTCAAACAAAAAGCATTCTGGATAAGAGTAATCTTTAACATTGAATAAAAAGAATTGTCTGAGTAGTTACTCCAAAAAGTTCTAGAATATTTTTGCTAAGCTAGAAGGATAAACTATTTCTGCAAACAGTATACTTTTCCAGTATAACCGCAAGCTTCTCAGATTTTTAAAACAGTACCTATACCTGTCTAGTTACTCCATTTTTTGAAGAACTGCTGAAAGAGATAGTATTTTTGGACTATTTATCAACTTCACATATTATTTTGGGAGATTTTATAAGACACAGGAAGAAGTAAAAAGTCTAGAAGAGGGTGGCATAATTTGTAAACTATATCAAGCAAAGAACACGGCTCAAGAACCACATACTGCAGTCTTCCAGGTGCATGATATTCCTTTTGCTTTCTGCAGCCCAAACAGGGAGGAAACAAAAGAGGATTATCAAGCCTGGATGTGCCAACAGAAATGAATGTTGGGCTTTGTTTGGCTTGGTAGATTCACAAATAACTAGACTTAGGCTAGAATGAAAGGAACATAATAGCAACAAGGAACTTAAGACTAGATTTTTAAAAATCCTAACCCTTTCTCTAAAAGCCCACATGTATACATTGTTAATGGTTTTACCAAAGTTATCTACTACAATTGTTATGGATAATCCTATATAGGCTACAAATTCAAAAGCCTTTTAGCAATGCAACACTTTTTCTTACAAACTTATTACCCTCAGATCAAAAACTGACGCTATGGCTTTCATGTTAAGAGTAAGTATTTGTTAAAGTATGCTTTTTCAAAGTATGCTTTTGCTGAACCGAAGTCTTTCAAAAAGCACTTTACTGCTTAAATATACTATTGATTTTACCTTCCAAGGAAATACCAAGACTGGCCAGAGTTGGGATCTGCCTCTAGAGACTTCTGGAGACACTGAATAGCATAGTTTTCCTTGGTGGCTTTATCTCCTAACTGATCCACTGTGTGATGCATCCAGCCTAAAAGGAGAGGGGAGGAAGTAAATATATGCATATGCACAGTGTGTGTGTGTGTGTGTGTGTGAGAGAGAGAGAGCGAGAGCGAGAGCGAGAGCGAGAGAGAGAGAGAATTTTAGTGAAAGATTGTTGCATTATTTTTAGAATGTATACTTCACACAAAATATATTCTAAAAATAATGCAATAAACATGTTTCATAAAACAAAATACAACCAATTTATAAAGTGAAGTCACTATGAAAGAACATAGCACACAGATATACTTTTCTCATACAGCTCAAAATTCAACACACAATAATGCTGCAGAATATCCTTGGAAGGATCTAATTGAATCAGTTGGACCAGTAATCCTGAATGTCCACTGTTTCCCACCTTAGCCACAGCCAGGAACTTAAAATCAGAATGTTGAGAACACTGTGACCCAGTTCACACACAGCAGTGGCAACATCATACATTAATTAATCATGAATTATTGTGGCATGTTTCATGACTTTTGAAAAATATTTAACCTCCAATTGGGCTGAACATGAACTGCAACCCATATACTGCCTTGCTTTGTTCAACATGACAGCTCATCATGGGTAATTATTTATATCCAACCTTTTTTCCTTTAAGGAATTCAAGGCGGCTTACATAATCAATAACTCTTTGAGGTAGATTAGGCTGAAAGCCAGTGACTGGCCAGCCTGAAGTTGCCTGGTGAGCTCTGTGGCCAAGAAAAGACTGGAATCTCTATTGCCTGGATTCCAGTCTAAGATTCTAATCAGTGAATTGCTGTGTCAGCTGAATCTAGACCATTTTCAGTCAGCCACCCCAAACAGTTATTTGTTATATTTATATCTTCCTTTTTACTTACAACAAACTCAAAGCAGCTTACATCATTCTCTTCCTCCTGCTTTCCATCTTATCCCCACAAGAACAACCTTGTGAAGTAGGTTGGGCTGAGAGTCTGACTGGCTCAGAGCCACCCAGTGGACTCTATGGCTGAGTGGGGACTAGAATGTAGATTACCTACGTCCCAGTCCCACACTCTTAACCAGGGGTCCTCTAACTTTTTCTAAAGGGGGTTAGTTGACAGGTGCCAGCAGTGGGCGCAGGCCACCAAGACGGTGCTGGCGGGGGCGCGAGCCGGTGAGGGGGCAGGGCGCAAGCACATGCATGTGAGGCGGGGATGGGGTGTGTGTGCAGGGCAAGGTGCCAGCTTGCTTGTGAGGAGATCGAGTCCAAAATAATCTCCTTGCGAGCCCACACGCATGGTGAGGTGCCGGCTTACTTGCAGGATCATTTTCTCTGAGCTCGTTCAAAATGACCTCCTTGCAAGCAAACCAGGCATCCGCACACACCCAGCGAGTGCAAAACCTGTGGAGCAGGCAGGTTAAATAGGCATGGCAGGCCTTAGATTGAGGACCCATGCTCTTAACTATACACCACACAGGCTCTCAATTTATGGCTTGTTCTAGGAGTTCATCCATAATGCTTGTTGGGTCATCTGAACCAAGGACAGCAATTTCATTCTGGCTTGCAGGTTACTGGCTAGGGAACCCCTTGTCAAATACAACACACCCACCCACCACTACTTGCAATCTTGCCCTTTCAATTGTCAGTAACAACCCCTTACTGATGTACAAGAGTTATTTTGCAATCGTTGTCAATACCTTGCTCCCATTTTTAAAAACTGACCTAAAATAGCACATTTGTGTTCATATTATTATTACTCATAATAATAGTTTGACTTTCCTTGTCCATTTCAGCTGTCAAAGGAAGCAAGAAGTGGAGTAGGTAACATACATGGAAAGTGACAAGGTAAGAATGCATAGTGTAATTAGCATACACTTGCCAGAGACCAATTGCCAAGTTGTCAATTGAAAAGCACCAGTAAAGTAGAGAAAATGGCAGCAATGGTTGTAAACTGCCCAGACAGCTTCAGCAATGGGGTGGTAGAGAAATGAAAGTAGTAATAATGCTAATCATGATGATGATGATGGGAGAACAACAGCTCCTATTTCTGCAATAGCTAGAGACTTGGGGAGTATTGATAGGTAAAAGGTACTGAGAACTGTCAGTTCAACACTTAAAATCAAAAGGATTACATTATTGGGTGATATTCTCTTCCACCACCACACGTATTTTTGGTGCACCTACATTCATCACTTCCCCCCCTCCTAGTGCTTTTCAATTTGACATCTAGATAACTGACCTGTAGCACCTGTTCATAAATTAACATATATGCAGCCTTGTCTTGTCGATCTGTTGTTACCTATTCCACTTCCTTGCACCCTGAGACAGCTGACACTGATCAAGGAAAGGAACAAGGCAAGACAACACACATCAGACAGCCTCAAGAGTACATATGTAAAATAATGACAAAAATAGCCAACAACATTAATTATTGATAATAATGCAATTCTCAGGAATGGAAAAAGATACTGAAATAATTAACTGAAATTCAACTTTTTTGAGTTCTCATGGTCACTGGAAGAAAGTAGCAATTGGAACAGGAGAATGGAGGCAACATAGGTTCTGATGTGAAGAACATTGGATTGTTGGCTGGAGAACCAATGAAGGTGATAAGGAGAGAAAGAACAAGCCACAGTGAGCTCAATCATTTGTTCAGCTCATAGTGACTAAGTTCACATGCCATGCTAAGCTGCTATGTGTACAAAGCCACAGAAGCTTATTGTGTTGTTTGAAACTTGGTAACCTATAAGCCATGATTTATAAACCATTACAACAAGCCATGGTTTACTGTAGGGTTTGCTTGACTCTCCATGATTTTGCATGTTGTCCAAACCTGACTGTCTCAACAAGTCATTGTCAAAGCCTGTAAAGTTGCTTGGCAAGAGTGGCAAAAAGGCTTGTCACTCTGGCCAAGGGATAGTGGGTGACTGCCATTGCCTGCTACCTCGGAGGTATCATAGCGGCACATGGAAGTAGCTAGCAATAGTTCCTTCTTCTTGATGTGATCGCAAGCACTTGCTGCAGCTTGACTTTTAAAAAAATGCTTTTTTAATATCATGACAACTTATGCTGTATGAATACACTAATTATAGATTTACCTACAAATATACATTAACTGGTTTACACATCACAGTAAGTTATGACATACTGTAGGGTGATGTAGCATGGCATTTGAACCTTCTGGAGATTCTGTTATGGGCTGTTTTTCATAAATGAGCAACCCTGAAAACTCAAGGCTTGCAGTATTGCTGTTTAGGGTGGCTTGTTCTCAGGATGGTTGTCATAACATCTGACAAAATGTTATGCGAAGGGAATTTGACAGTGGCATTTCTAGATATGCAAAGGGCATACTGATGTACTTACTTGTAGCTTCTTTACTAGCAGCTGTCTTGCTGATACAACATAAGACTGTCCTATGAATTTTCATAAAGGACAGATGTTTACAAATCTAATTTACATATATTTTAAGGACTGATCCCCCTCCCCAGGGAAATTACCAATCCCATTTGCACAAGTTTGAAGAAATCCCAAGGGGAAAAAATTGCCAAAGTTAAAATTGTTCAGAAAAAGGTTGGCAATTAAAGTACACAGGACGCTTCCCTCCGTTGGAAATACAAAGTTTTAAGATTTTTGCTTTGCATATCGTTGATTTGCCAGCTATCTAGTGACTGGATGGATGAGGGAGCACTTGGCCATGAGGGTTTGTGCCACCAAACTAAAACATAACCATACCTGTTGGGAGTAATGTGGTTTGCTCAATGAACAACTAACTCACAATGATTTATTCTCAGGGTGGTTTAGCATGGCATGTGAACTCACCTAATTAATAGTTAAGTGTTGGCTGTTTAATTCACGATGTAACTACATGCAATCTTACACTGCCTATCTTTTCCTCTATCTAATAGAATTCCAAGTATTTTGTGCACATATGATTCCTAGATCTCCATCCTGAACAACTGCTAGTTCAAAACCTGTTATAGTTAAACATTCACTTTCTGTGATACTTTCCTTACTGTTAAGAAATTCTTACATCTGGTTTCCTTTGTATATGATGGAGCCAAATTTCTACAACTTACAAAAGTTCAGGTTGTTTATACATAAGATCAACATGACCAAATAAATGTGGTTGGCATTCCAAACCAGTACTGCTACAACTCTCGTGTGATCAATGATATCACAAGCTCAATACGACAACAATATGATGTGGCTGAAAAAAGGGCAAATGCTATTTTAGGCTGCATTAATAGAAGTATCACTTCCAATCACATGACGTACTAGTTCCCCTTTACTCAGCACTGGTTAGGCCTCATCTGGAGTACTGTGTGCACTTCTGGGCACTGGGCTCCCCAGCTTAAGAAAGGTGCAGACAAACTGGAAAGGGTTCAGAGGAGGACAACAAGGATGATCCAGGAAACAAATCCCTATAAGGAGAGATTGAAAGAACTGGGCACATTTAGCCTCCAGAAGAGAAGACCGAGGAGAGAAATGATGGCATTTGAAAGGCTGTCACAAAGAGGAAGGTCAGGATTTCTTCTCAATCAAGTAAAGAGATACTGGAAGAACGGGGAATGTTTAGCTTAGAGAAAACTGAGAGAAGATGCACTCTCACAAGTACTTGAAAAGTTGTCACAAAGAGGAAAGTCAGTTATCCCACAGTGCACAATATGGATTAATGGGCTTAAGTTACAGGAAGCCAGATTCCAGCTGAACATCAGGAAGAACATCCTGACTGTTAGAGCAGGACAACAATGGAACCAATCACCTAGGCAGCTTGTGGGCTCTCCCACACTAGGGGCATTCAAGATGCAACTGGACAGCCATCTGAGTGGGATGGTTTAACCTGGTGTTCTGGACAGAGCAGGGGTTTGGACCTGGTAGTCTTCTGGCCCTTTCCAACTCTACTATTATATGAGTCTACATGCTCTACACAGAATTTGTCACAGCCTAGAAGCTGTGTGTGTTCTTAAATATGATACTCTTTGTGCTGCTGCACTAGCTTACTTCAATAGAGGAAAACCTATGCTGCTTTCAACTAAAATAAAGGTAAACGAAAAGGTTTCCCCTTGACATTAAGTCCAGTCGTGCCTGACTCTAGGGGGTGGTGCTCATCTCCGTTTCCTAGCCGAAGGAGACAGCATTTGTCTGCAGTCATGTGGCAGGCGTGACTAAACACCGAAGTGCACGGAACGCTGTTACCTGCCCACCGAAGTGGTACCTTTTTATCTACTTGCATTTGCATGCTTTAGAACTGCAAGGTTGGCAGGAGCTGGGACAGAGTATGGGAGCTTACCCCGTTGTGCAGATTCTAACAGGTGACGTTTCAATCAACCAGCCCAGCAGCACAGTGGTTTAAACCACTGTGCCACCTGCAGTCCCTCAACTAAAATAGCATGACACGCATTTGTGAAAAGATGTAAAGAAGTGCCTACAGAAGTAGATGTTCCTTAGAAGGAACAGCTTTATCCTATGCTAACTGCTGCAGCTGAAGCTGCATCTGTATGGCAGTTCTGCTCATTAAGGATTTGGCAGTACTGTGGACCAGGTAAAGAAGCTTCATGCCATACTTTAGCTACTGCCAGCCACCAAGCTGTCATAGCTGAAGGCAGCCTCACCCAACCCAAGACTTGGCAGACTTGGAAAACAGATGGAAAAGGCTCAGTTCCACCAGCCAGCCACCAAACTCCTGTTAGCCCTACTCAGCTATGATCTAAAGGCATGGAGGCAAGTAGGAATAGCTACAGTTGCTCTGGACAATGCCTATTTAACTTGGGGTGGGGGAGGATATATTTTAGATACTACTATGCTTTGTAAATTTTTTGCTATATTTTACCTCTGAATTTCTGAATTTTGCCATGCAGATAGCCATGAGGGTTATGCACCTGCTGATATACCAGTCTGAGATCCTGATGGACAGGTTTGTCAGTGAGAGCAACACTGTTTGTAAAGATAGCATACCATACTGGCTAACTAGATGTGCATATGGAAGGTGGTCAGGGCTCCGCAGACATTGTGGTCATTCCAATATGAGGAACATATGGATGAACCACACTTGTAAGGGTCACATTTGGAGTCTTGCGAAGGGAACCAGTGCTGAAGTTGCAGCCATAGGTCTGAGCAGCTTTTGTATTCTTTGGGCTCTAACAGCTGCTCTGGTGCTGAGCCTGGCTGCCATTTCAATCAGCATGGATATAGGGGGCAGCTGAGAACCCAAAGAGGAGTGCAGCGAATTGAAACATGCCATCCCCAATCTGGAAGTGTAGGAAGTATCTATAACTGTGGTCTATGGTAATGTGGAAGTAGGCTTTTTTCAGGTCAATTGTGGCAGTATTCTTCTTGTAGGAGAGGTAGGATGTTATGGAGTGTGACCATCCTGAACTTCCTTCGTGTGATAGATTGATGACTCTGAGGTACAGAATCAGTCTGAGTTCCCTCTCTTGTTTTGGTACCACAATGTAGTGAGAATAGAAGGTTTGGAAAAGGTTGAAATGAAGGACTTTCAGTTTGGTTCCCTTGGCAAGTAGTGAATCGAACTTCATCAGCAGCATTGGATACTTTATGGTACTGAGAGGTGGGAGGGCCTCAAACTTGATCCAGTAGCCTCTCACCACAATGGATAAGACACAGCAGTCAGATGTTACTGCTTCCCATGCAGGAAGGAACAGAGAGAGAGATCTGTTGAAACTGGTGGCAGGGAGGGGCTTGCTGACAAGGGCAGTCAGCAATGGTCTTTGTCCCCCTCTGGGCACATTTGTGCTTGCTTGAAGTGCACTGCAGTGTCCCCAGAGGCTGCCTGGAACCTAGGGGTAAACTTGGCATAGGCGTGGTGCTGACATGGAAGTTGCCCCCCCTCCAACCCCCCCCCCACCTGTGAGGTCTGGTGGATGACTGCTGGAAATCCATCCTATTTGCCATTGTCCTGGCCTTCTACAAAGAGTCAATGTATTGAAAAGACCCTCCTTGTCAAAGGGGAAGTCCTCAATGAGGGAGTGGGTCTTCTGAGGCATAGCCAGGCATGCCTCCTGATTGCCTTAGCATCTATCATTTACCTGGCACCACAGTCAATACAGTGTCTTCCTGCAGTGATCTGCTGATGAGCCAGCTTTGTGGCCTCTGAAAGGAAGGCAGTTCCCTTCAGTTGTCAGGGAGGCAGTTGCACAGAACCCATTCTGTCCCATAGAAACAGTTGGTAGTGGGTCATGCTGGCTTAGTAGTTAAGTAGTTAAGGCAGTTGAAAAGGAACTGAGGGAATGGGTGGGAGGACCAGGAAAGGGAGGGGCTCCTGACTGTAAAATCTTCCCAACAACAGGCTCCATGCAGGTGCAAAGCCCGTACAAATAATGCACAGAGACCATGAAGAAGAACCACTATAAAAATGAAAATAAAAGGATGCAATTCAATTTTAATGTTTACTAGTTTGGGCACTAACTTCATTTTGAAAGTTTCACAGAAAATTGAGGTAATGTAGATGGTAACAAATACAAGCAAAAATTTTATTCTGAAGGCAAGCTTGCACAGTGGAACACTAGGTCTATGGACTACTGAATTACAACTATGACCTATCAATCCAAACGGCAGTAGAAAAGCATGAAAGATAATTCACATTTCCATTTTTCTTCCCCAGTGCTTTCACATACCTAACTGTTGTAATACAGTTGCTTTCACTTGTGCAGGAAGATTTTCAGTCTGCAAAAGTTGTTCATATTCCTTCTTTGCCAGGTGATATTTCCTCTAAAACAGAGCAAGGTTTATAGCTGTTAGAACATTTTACTGAAAACTGGATGCATGTTATGGTTAAGAACAAAACATGAGTGAATGTTGATGACAACCTACACCTGGCAGTAAAAATACTGTTTTCACTGATAAATATAATATATAGCATCAATATAATACTGAGATAAAAGAACAGTCAATGTGGACTTTGCATAATGAATACATACTGTAGTACTGGACTGTCATTTCTCTGTAATTCCGATAAATGTAATACTTTACTGTAAATCTAATGCATTTAATATCCTTTACAGTGCTAGTGAAGGCTGTATCTGTCTAAAAAAGTTAGAATATCCATACACAACTTTAAAATTGAAGGGTTATATTAATATATATTGATAAAGAATTAAAATATATTGAGAAGGGTGTATCAGTGTTGCTCTTTAAAAAAGTTAGCAGAGGTAATGACATTCAGCAGTATTACTTGCCAATTAAGTAACCTTGGAAACATTGTTTCTTTCTGCCTCTCAGAGTCTACACTGTAGAATAAGATTATGTATAGCATGGAGAAACTGATGGAAAAATATGTTTCAACATGGTATGTAAGGATTAAGTCTGCAACAGTGCAGAAATTAGAAAAGACCTTTCAAAGTAAAGACTGAAAGCATCTTCCAATGTCCAAATAGATTTAAATATCTACTGAGATAAAACACACTGGGCTGGATCTAGACCCTATCACAGACACTGTAATCTTATAGAAAGATTCAGCCTAAGATATAGAAGATGCTAATAAGAGACTGGGTGCTGTTCAGGCAGTGCAGTGACAGAACAGTGAGATTCTACCTCTGCCTGGCTTCTTAGTGGGGAACAGGCTGGAGGAGTCTGACATTCTTTACCAGCTGCAAGATTCAACTCTGAGCAATATTCCTACAGCTCAGGAGGCTAGTAGCCATTCTGGGGGAAATAAGCAGGCCAGAGACTAAGCTGAGGAATGGGGGAGGGGGGTTCTAGCTTGTCCCTTTGTGAACTGAGCTGTCTACAGAGAATGGAGGAGAGACGCCCACTTAAGCATGGTTCATAATTACAGACAGTTTGCCTGCAAGGATAGGCGAACTGGCAAAGATGTTTAGACATGACATATGTTTTAGGGCAGCTGCACAGCTCAGGGAGCTTGGTGGATACATCACCTTTGGTACCAGAAAACGCTCTTGCTCCAGCTATACTTGAACCTTGATCTTTTGCCTTGTCTCAATTTCAGTGTTTGTGGAACCTTGTCTTAGAAATTATTCCTGAGCCCAGTAGTCTTGTACATCTAGAAACCACTGCATTTGAAAGTCTGCCTTAAGACTACACTGCTGGTCTTCAAACTCCTGCTTCAAGTTTATCTGGATTGTGTCTTGGAACTTAATTTAGAGTGCTGCCTGTGCTCTTAACTGAATTTCTTTATTTTTATATTCCACCTTTTTTCCTTCCGAGATACTCATCAAGATACTCATACATAATTCTCAGTCCCATGCTTTTAACCACCACGCCACACTGGCTCTCTTATTATATTCATGTTCCACACAACCCTGCACCTTATAAGAAGTCCACAGCAGTTTACATGGCACTTTCTCACATAAGAACCCTGTGAAGTAGGTTAAGCTAAGAGTCCATGTCAACTTCATGGCTGAGTGGGGAATAGAACTGGAATCTCCTGAATCCCAGCTAACGCTCAAATAGCTATGCCACACTGGTATTCTGACATACACTGATTTTGCCCATAATCAGATAGTTTATCAGCTGTTACTATAAAAGTCACTAACAATGCCATTTCACTAATGCAAATTGCATTGCACTAGACTAAGGAACCCCAATATAACATCAGTAACATTACTTTGTGCACTGGATTTTCTGGGGAGTTTTATCGCACATGCTTACAGCATTGGCTCTGTGCTAAAAGTCCTTTATGTTAGTTTATTTATTTCATTTATTTATTTCACTCCATTCTATGCTGCCTCATAACCCGAAGGTTCTCTGGGTGGCTTGCTTAGCACAATTTGTGTTAGTGGAATAACAATACTGGATGCTGACCATCATTGTATGTGCATATAGAAATGAATCCAATCTAGAGTGCTTCTAAGGTGGCATTTTGGAGCAACGATTGGTATATGTAAAACTTGCATTATTATTTCAAATGAAAAATACGCAAAAGCTATATAGGCTTTCTATACAGATTATATACATGTTTAATTGACATTGTAAAGAAATTGTACTTTTCCACCCCCACTGTCTGTACAAAGCCATCCAACAAAGCTTTTCCAGGAAGTCCTATTATGATCTGGTACACAAAAACAAGAGGACCTTTTGACTGGCCATTGTAACCAATTTGTAACACTTCATGGATAAATTTGGTTGTATCCATGCTGACTTCAATACCCTAGCTGATATGGGTCTTGCAGATGTGACAATCCCTGTGTCTAGCTAAAATCAACATTTTTCACTTTGTACAACCAAGGATGGGGTCAGAATCCTTGAAGTTTATAAAACCAGCGGGAGTGTGGTGGGGGGACTGGCCTACTGGATAAGAACATCTCATATGACTTCATCTTTCTTAAAAACAATGGTGGTATGAACTCTGTTTTTAAGAAAGCCTGTATTGGATAATGTCCAGCAGGTCTCCAATATTCGCCCCTTAGGTAAGGTGCTAGGACATGCAGTGGTTTTGGGAACCGGAGGAGAATATCTCTGTTGCTTCTGCTTGAACTTTATGCAGTGTTTGATATGGCATCCCTTGGTGGGGGGATGATGTGCTTGAGAAGGGACTGGGAAGCATTGTAGTCAGTGCTTCTGAGCCTTTTGAAAGGGCAATTTCAGAAGGTGTTGCTGGGAGATTCCGATAGCATGACTGTTCTATTTATCTCCCATGAATACACAAAACTGCTGGGAGAGATTATCTGTGGCTTTGGAGTTCACTGCATCAGTATGCAAATGATACACAACTGTGTCTCCAAACTGCTCAGATACTTTAGCAGGTTAAGAATTTTGCAGCCAGGCTAACAACTGGGGTCAGTTACAGGTGGCAAGTGACTCCCTTGTTACAACAGCTGTACAGGTCCATTTCCATGTACAATACAAGGTCTCTATTAACGATAAAACCCTATTCAGCTTGGGGACCAAGCAAACTGAAAGTCTTGAAAGGCTTTCTCCCATACAAACCTGCCTGGGTTTCAAGATATTTAGGAGAGACCCTTCTTTCAGTACTACCACCTTCAGAGATGTCTTTGGTGGTGACACATGAGGGACAATGTTCTTGGAGGCAGCTCCTAAGCAAGCAGCTCCCTGCAGAGGGAGGCTAGGTGGCTTCCTCTTTATTGCAGGAGGCAAATACATTTTTATTCAAGCACATCTTTGACAACAGAAGTGATTGCTTAGGTAAGGTGCTATTTTAATTCTGTTACTGTTATGTATTTAACCATGCTTTTAATGTATCTGTTTTATTTTTATCAGGTTTTTTATTCATCTATGATTGTAAGCTGTCTTCAGTGCCACTTTCTTGGTAGAAAGGTATGATACGGATCATAGAAACAATAGATCATATGAAACAGAAATTAAGCTAAATAATTTTAATAATTCATCAGACTGGATTTTTGATATCTAGATTTCAGTTGATAATAAGCATCTGTATGAAGCTTTTAAGTACATTCACTATAAAGTAGTTATTCTCAAAGAAGGCACAGCAAGTCAAAAAACCTTCCCAGGTGAAAATCCAAAAGCAAATCATGAGTTCGTAACTCTTGCTCTTGTCTCATATAGATCACAGCAAAAGAAAGGATGCAATACTGTGCCAAATTTTAAAGTCTATATGAGAACAAAGACATAAAAACCTGGCAAGCTGCTTCACTGGACCCCTACCTGTGAGAGAGGTAGACAAAGATGCAATGGGAAATAATGTCCACTTTGTGCATCCTAATTCTATACTTACACCCAGAAATATGAGGGGAAAGAATGAGGAGAAGAGGGCTGTATTTCTTTCAACAATTGTTTTGGCCTCCAAAAGGATACCTACTATAGTTTGTGATTGTGACTTGATTTTCAAGTCAACAGCACTGTTTGGTGATACTGGGTGAGGAGATGAAAGATCCACCCACCCCCTTAACTGAGGGTTATTTTGGTTTGGTCTTATTTTCTGCCATGTTACTATCAGCTACTGGTTTGACACCAATTCCCCATCCCCAGCTTACTTCTCTTTCACAGAAAATTCTCAGCCAACCAGGGCTCATAGTATAAATGGGATGACACAAGACCATACAATGAAACATATTTGACAGTCTGCTGATGTTACTGAGGTCAAGCAAGGGAGTTTCAGGGAGATGTAAATATTCTGGAGTAGCTGAAACCATCCATTCCAATGTAAAAAGTCACTGAACAGGTGCTTTCTTGGTGCTGATGAACGATGAATGTTTGCAAAAAGTATACACACATTTTAATATCAGGCCTCCTTGGTCCACAACATTGTTCTAACTTAACCATACTTAGCAATCAAGAAATATTATATACATACCTGGGTTTCATATAAATGAGCAATGTGAAACCGAACTGTAAAAGCAGAAAAGTGAAGACATTAGGAATAGGAAATTCAAAAGAATTAAGTATTGTGTTTACTTAATTACTTAATTGTGCATATCTATGTGTGAACACTTCTAATCTTGTGCGGCAGAGTGATAAATCAAAGAACAAGAGAGTCTAAACAGATGATAGAAACCTTCCCCTGTTCCTCACAGAAAAAGATATATAATGTAGTTTCAAACTCCAAAGTCAAAGTGCATGCAGCTTTTATGCCACTGGAGAATATTTCTTGCAGATGATAACATGCATGTTTAGGGCCTTTTTGGCTAGGAGAAAACAAGTAATTGCTACCAGCATCACTTCAGGTTAGCATGAGTCCAATAATGAATGATTTTGTTGGATTTCAAAGAAAGTGTTTTTAAAATAATGATAGTATTTTCATCCCATTATTTTTCTTCTTGCAAGGAAACCAAAGAGGCCTCTTCCTCTACATTTTATCCTCACAATAATTCTTGTGAAGTAGGTTAGGCTGAAAGTCAGCAACTGACCCAAAGTCGCCTAGTGAATTTCATGGCTGAGAGAGTATTCAAACACAGATCTCTTCAGTTTCACTCTAACCACTAGAGCAAACTGGTTTCTCTAGAACCCCATCTGTTGCTTGTTGCTAGTTGCGAAGTTGCATCCGACCCATTGCGACCCCATGGACAACACTCCTCCAGGCCTTCCTGTCCTCCACCATCCCCCAGAGTCCACTTAAGCTCATGCTGACTGCTTCAGTGACTCCATCTAGTCACCTCATTCTCTGCCGTTCCCATCTACCCCCACAATAAAACAGGAAAAAGTAGTAAAATTTTTCAATATATTTTGAGTCGCCCCTCTAGTCAATAAGTGCTGAGAAGGTTCATAATAAAATAAATATAAAATACAATAATTTAACCACTCCGTCCCAGGCATCTAAAACAAAGCTGACAAAGCATACACATATAAGACTCTAAGACTTCCAAATATCTCCTTCTAGCATATATACTGAATACACAAGAGATTAAAGGCAATCTGTGTCTTTGGATGCCATCCTCTAATATCACTTCTCACAGTTCTCACCCATCCACATCTCCCAAGTCAATAGGGCCCGCATACTTTTGTGAGGAAGGTTAATGATAATTCAGTTGAGAACTTATCTTAATTTGACCTTCCCTTTAAAGGTTTAAGTAGTCAAATGACCTACAACTGGCTTGCATTTGAATCAGTTAAGTGGTCAGGTAGGTAGAATATGTATCTATGATTTACAGCATACATGGTCAAATATTAAATGAAAATTTAGCATCACCAAGGAAGAGTCAAAATAGACTTGATATCATCCACACCACTGAAAAAAAACAAACAAAAACAAAACAAAAACAAAACAAAATGAAACAAAACAAAAACAGTAACAGCTGTCATGGCACATGGGATGAGAATTTTTAAGCCTTTCATCTTCTTTATCAACTCCTCCCACCCCTATCTGTTCTTATCCTGGAAGGGAAGCTTTCATTAGCATCAACAGAGCCTGGAGGTTAACTGAAGATGCAGGTGGATTTGCACTAGGCCTATGACAAGAGTAAACCCCCTCAACCCCACACATTACAGTCCCAAAAAAAACCCCATCTATGCCTGTTTTTTGATTAACTTGTTTACTGAAGAAGTGTACAAGCAGCACATCTAGTCTGGTCTAAGAAACTTCTAAATGCCATGGTTTAGTCTCTATAACATTACTAACTGAACAATCAGATGAAAAATAATTCCTTAAAATTGATTTGTTTTTGAGTGTGAATAAAAGTATGAAACCATAAATAATTAAGCAAGCAGATCCCTGCACCTGCCATTCTAGCCAATTACAGTCATAAAAGCCCTCTCTCAAAACATCAAGATCTAGAACAAAATCAGAACAACTCTTCAAGTTTTTTCAACAAAAACAACTGAAGGAACAATGGGAACTACTAGCCAAATTATCTGTGCGTGGGGTCCATGTAATGTAACCTGAAACACAAATATACCTGTGCACATTCAAGGTTGCCAGATATCTCAATACTATAAATATTTATAAATTACACTAGCTTGGCTACAATCCCACCCCCACACACACCCCAAATCCACAGATTAAGGATTCACAATCAATAAATGTTAACTTCCCTCCCATTTCTTGAGCATAGTGCGCTTCACTGCTGGCTACACTGAAAGCTTGTAGCCTGAACATGAATCTTAAGGTACTTTAAAAAGTAAACACTGTATGAAAGAGTAGAATAAATAAGAAATACTGGCTACCCTGAGGAGAATGTGATCTAATTTTACAGTATGCACGTGAACAAAGGGAGAGAATGGGATGAAAGAAGAAGACAGGAAAAGAGTGAACATCTTTTAAATAAAGGGAAGGATGGGAACAATAGTATCAAGGAATGGGTGTGAATAAATGCAATTACATGTGCAAGATTAGCATGGGCTAGGTTCAAGGGGAAAGAGGTTAAACTGAAGGCCACACAGAACAAGTGGGTTTTGAGGAGAGGATGCTACTATGAATGAGTTCTGGGAAGTATTTCTGGGTGTAAGGGGCAGTAAGCAAGGATGTGTGGAGTCATTTAAGGAAACAAAACTCAGGAGCAATTGAAGATATGAGAATCATCAGAATAAACAGCAGAGTTTTAACAGGAATAAAGGCTGAATGAGAGAGGAACACTGCAAAGAGAGTAAAAGGCTATGGCAAGAAGCTTGAACAGACTAGAGTAAGTAGATAGGGTAGATAGCCTGTGGTGGAGAGAGTGCTGAACTAGGACTGGTGAGACTTAGGTTCAAATTCCTATTCAACCATGAAGTTTACTGGGTGATCTTGGGCAAATCACTGGTTGCGTTTGCAGAATATAGCAACCCACCCTACAAATCGACACAGTGTCAGCTGTTTGTAGAACCACTTAGGGTATATCTCACAGATGATCAGGATCACTGTGCCATGTTCCCCAACTTTCTTTCCTCTTAAGCTGTCCTAAGATTTGCCTCTTGTCTCCTCTCTCTACTCCAATCACAATCCCTTTTACAGTTGCCTCCCTTTTTTCAGAGTGGTTTTTGCAGCTTCTGAAGTGACAATAAATAACCCCTCTGAAGTGCTGTAACACCACATACAACTGTCACTTTTTTTTCTTTTTTGGTACCAGAAATATATGCAAATGTTTTTGGTAACATAAACAATTTTTTGGTCAGTAGTTTAAAATTGTACAAGTGCGTAACTGTATCTACCTGAAATTTGAAGCTTTGCATGGTTAAGGTTCCACTAAGTGTCTGCTGTCAAATCAGCAACATGCAGGGACATGACTAAACCAGGTTCCACACACCTTACTTTGCTTTCACTTGACAGCTACCAAACAGTGAATAGCCAAGTACAAAGCAAAGTTTTGTGGAAGATCTTTGCTTGTGAAAGGGATCATTGACTAGGTGGCACTCTTAGCAGTGAGATCTTTAAGGTTTTAAGGGTGAATATGACAGAAAAACTTGGCAAAGAAAGTCTAATCTGTTTCATTTTGACTCTTTTTCATGCTAAATTAACTTGATGGGGGCATCCTGATTTGAAAACAATGAAACAGCCTTTTATTGTGGAGGAATTGGGTCAACAGTGGAATTTATATTTTATATTAGCTAATCTGATCAGATGACTAATTTTACCATTTTCAGTACTGCAGAGTAGATATCAGCTAGTGCTGAGTGGTAATATATTCAATTACAGCATCTTCTGATGTCCACAAATGAGTCATCCAATAAGTACTTCAGCACCTCCTGTTGGAGGGACTAACTGGCTCTTTACAAAAAGTTAAACCTACAAGAGTTGCTTAAAAATGTCTTTTGTACTATAATCAAGTGGATGTTCAGTATGAGAGAGAGGAAGAGAAATTGAGCATGATGACTGCTGTTTAATCAAAGAAAGTAAAAAATCGATGAGACTTAAAATTGCAACCTAAAAGATTTATAACATTTCCTAAAAGCTGCTTTGAGCGCCATCAGGGAGAGAGAGGAAGGTAAGGGATAGATCCAAAGAGAGTCAATGATGTATAGGGGTTTTCATTTCATTCCATTCATTAATTATTTTAAAAGATATTACTATTATTATTGCTAAGAAAACCCTGAGGCAAAATTGTTTTGAAAGAAAAACATATTAAAATACAAAAAAAGAAAAAGAAAAAAAAGAAAATTAACTTTCCAATGAATACTAAGAATATACTATTGAGTATTTTACCAGAAACTCTCCCAAGAAATATGGAATAATTATTCAAATATATGATAAGAGCGGCCAGAGTTACAACTGCAACAAAATGGAAAACAGAAGGTTGTCCAACCAACAGAGATTGGAAAAACAAGCTAGCTGAATATACAGTGATGACAAATTAACCAACTATGTAAATAAAAGACTGGTCAAAGATTTTAAGGATAAATGGGAAGCTTATTATATATTTTACTTAACAACTGAGATTAAAAATAGAGTTTAAGGATTGTTATGCTGATTTATTTTCTAAGAAGCCATAAAAAGAAATCCAGTTAATTAATTTAGTTAGAAATGGAAAGCCTATCAATTTCTATTTTATTTGTAGTGATTAAATGGAATCTGGACATCATTTAAGAATGAACATTTTCATGTGAAATCAGTTTTGTTTAGCTACTTACAAATATAATCAAGCATTATTTATACCTATGTATTATAATGTAAAATTGTAGTTATAAGCTTAGATGAATAATGACTACTGCTGATTCTTTGTGAAACTTCCTGCACTTGGTTTTATATGCAATTTTTATACAAGGTCACTAGGTAACTTCTTTTTGACGTTCTATGCTTTCCTCTTTGTTCATTATTTCCCAAAATAACAACAAAATCTAAAAAGACAGACAGACAGACCGACCGACCGACCAACTGAAAGATCGAATGACCTGAGGCACCCACAGTGGTGGTTGGAAAAGAACTGAGGAAAATGACAGGAGCTCCTCCTAGATATACCAGGGGAGAGAGGAGAGAGGGGAGGGGTTCCTGCCAGAAAAAAAAATTGCTAGGAAAATCTACCCAACAACTGGCCCCACGCAGACGCAGAGCCCATTATGTGTGATGTGCCGCAACCATGAAGAAAAATGTATGCTTAAAATACTAACAGGCAATTAAAATACTTACTTTCAGCATTGGACAAAGTGCAAGGATTGCAGTCAACCAAAGCTAACTGAAAATGCTGCAAAAGAGAACAGAGAAATTAATGTCTCTTTTACTAAAAGCTAATGCTTTATTTGGCACATAAATTAAAATAATTTTAAGCATATTAACTTTTTGTAGGTTCAACAGAAGAAAATACAGTGATATTGTCTAGCATACAAACTATTAAAAATTTACATGACAGCAATTAAAACTTAACATGGAGAAAGTAACTCTTGAAATTTAAAGGGCTCCTGATAGCAATTATATTTTGTTCTAGTGTTAACTTTATGCAAAATGAATGAAGGCTCATAAAAAGATGCACATGTTACATGGAAAATGTTATATTAGATCCTTATTTTCAGAAATGTATACAATCTATACTTCTAAACTATACCTTACCATCTTTCAGTAACTGAAGACTTTCATTTCTGATGTTTCAGTGATCCTAATTGATATAGTATTTTGAATGAAAGGTGTACCTATTGAAGTTTTCCTATATATTCAGTGACTTAACATGAATAATGAATTTCACACTTTATGTCGATTCTGAGTATACCTTAAGTGTATGAGGTCATTTTGAACATGGATCAAATGAAAAATAGGAATAATTAACTATGCAACCATGTTTCAGGTTAAGTAACAGATACACGCAAACATTATTAGAGTGCCATAAGAGAATGTTACCTCATACTGCCTTCATCTTTACTGTAGTAATAAAGAACTATCACCAGGGTTTTAAACATTCTTTCATTTAAAAAAATAATCAAAATGTTAATTAAATCAAGATAATGATCTAAAAACTAAACTAGGCTCCCCAATAATGTTACAATGTAAAATAAATAAAATACTCTGCAAAAGCAAAATATATCTATTAGACAAAGAACACTATTGTATTTGTTCATGTGCAAACAAGTCATTTCATTGTAATTGTTTTTTCTCTAATAAAGCAAACTGGAATTATTTCTCAGAATATGTATATATGATTATGCAGACTTGGAAAGCATAAAATTAACCCCTTGTGCACTAGCTGTCTTTTTCTTAAGCTTGAAACTATAAAACCTGTGCCATTACTTTAAACCCTGAAATATCCTGATTGCTGTTGATATAGCTATGCATTTTTAAAGCTATACTAAACAGAAAATCTGAAAAACATGCATTTTTTTCATAAAATATATAAGCCTGCATTTAGAGGCCTTTAAAAGGAATATATAGTTCTATAAAATGCAAAGTCACACTGCCAGTTATACCTTGTATAATACAGATAGAAACATAGCAGAAAAAGGACAGTGCAGATCCATCAGTATTGAGTAATACCAGTTAAAAGCATAATAAAAATAAACATTCAGTGTTGAATTAGGTAAGATTCCAATTTGTTTTTGCAATGGATGCTACTCATGAAATGCAAACAAAAACTCCATTTGCAACTTTCTGGTTAAAATATTTTATAGCATTTAGACAGCAGAAATAAAATTATTCAACCTCACCATAGTATTACTTGATCTACAATTTTTTTCAAATTTCAGAATATACAAACTGACAAAATGCAATGTTTTGCCAGTACCATTTAGCGTAGCCTATGATAAGCTATGCTGACAACTCAAACATACAGATAGGTAATCAAAAACAGTACATAGTTTATCATAAAGCTGCATCTGTCTTAAGGATACATTAATTATTAAGGATCACACATGAACAAACCTATTCATCTAGAAAAATCCTGCTTATCTAGCTCCAATTAAACACAGACAATACTCCTGAGGTATTTTATACAAAAAAGCAAAACAAAAGCAAAAAGACAAACTATTGACTCTTTTCAGCACAAGAAACTAGAAAAGCATCACATTAAATATCCAGCTCCAAATCTCTGCAGCACATCGTATCTAGCAAACATCAGCATCTCGTACAAATATTGCAGTACTGAAGCTGGCTGCCGCCGCCGCTGTATGAAATAGTTATTATGCAGGAGAAGCCACTGCAGTTCAGAGACAACATACAATGCCTCAAAAGGCAGACATCTCTGTCTACAGCAATTCAAATAATGAATAAAAATGATTTACCTATAAGAGACCAATCTGAATGTTTAACAGTGATGGCATCTTTCCAAGCACAGAAGTTGAAATCAATGACAAAGTATGATTTGTAAGGAATTAAAACTGCACAATTAATCAGGTGACTTTTCTCCTTCAGAGCCCTTGACTGATGTGATTGCAGCAGAAGTCAAGTCACAGATGTAACCTTTGCAATTAAATTAAAAGTCCAGTTCTTGTGTATCTTACAACATATATAGACAATTTTGCTATAAGCCATAACACATGTTTAACTATCCCTTCAGAACTAGACCTCTTTTTGTCAGTTTCTCTAATACTTTTGCAAATTTATTTGGAAATGCTTTAGAACTGCTAACACAATACGACCTAGTAATAGTAGATTAAAACTTATTTGAAAAGTACTAAAAACATTTTAAGATACACATCAACAATTATGATACCCTGGAATTGGACTGTTATTTTAGTTTGATGCAAGATTTCCTAGCAGATAGTTCCAAAACGTCTATGTAGCAGAAATCAAGGCATCATGAGAAATTTTACAATTCTGACATGAACATACCACAGTGGCAAACCTCATTCTAGCTTACAGCTCTTCGAGATGACATTTCTGTATGACCTAGGTGTGATGCCTGATCCTGAGAGCAGTCTTTTGTTCAGATAACTAGGACACAGAAAGCCTTGCGTAATCAAAGTGCTGGCAAACAGCCAAGGCTCCATCTGACAGGCATACTGAGGGTAAGGGTGGGAGGACATGCAGCACGTGCTGTTAAATCAACTCATTAGTTTTCTCTCTAGAGTCCTTCAAAATCGGAATTAATTCATCTTTTTTTAAAGAAAGAGGCTTGTAAGGCGTAAGCACTCTCTTTCACCCTACACTGCACAATCAAAACACAACAATCGACTACATAAACAGCATAAAGGAAGGTGAACAAAGCACTTTATTTGCATAATATGAATTAAACAGGACTAGTCTAAATGATCACATGGTCAAACCAAAAGTTTCCCTTAGCTATACATACCACTCTGTGATACTGTAATACAATACTTGGATAACAGATTAGTTGATGACAGTTATTAATTGTTCACAAAGATTAGTAAAATAATCTTTTGAAGGACAGCCTTCAAAGTTTCTGGCTCCATGTTCTAGCTCCTAATCTTGTGCCCCATTCCCCCCGCCCCTCTCAATCGCACACAAAATTGGTAGAGCTGCAGTCAGATTTTTAACTATATTAATCAATGTATTATGGACATCTTCCCTTCTTTTGAACACATGGTAAAGGATGTCAAGTCCACTGAAGTCATGGCTTTTTCCTAGAGTGCCACTGTTAACTATACAACATAATTACTACTGTCTTTGTGGGTAAGCTGCCAGCAGACGGAACACTTGGCTCTCTCCCTAACAGGTTGTACACAAATGGCAACTGTCCAGCTGGATAAATGTGACTCCACTCTGAAAGCAGTTCTTAAAATACTGGGTGACTAAAACATGAAATGCATATTCCCTCAACTGCTAATAACTTTATGCGCTTATTTATTTATTCAATTTATATCTGCCTTTTTTCTTTCAAAGAACTGAGTGGCTTACAACATTCTCTCAATCTTATCCCCACAACAAAAACTCTGCAAGGTAGGTTGGGCTGAGAGCCTGTGACTGGTCGAAAGCCACCCATGGATGAGTGGATCTAAGGATGAGTGGGAACTAGAACCCAGATCACCTGAGTCCCAGACCCATGCTCTTAATCACTACACCACACTGGCTCTCAGTTTGAGAAATGCCCTTGAGGAATGCAATGAACTTCTCCAAATCTTACATTGAACCACATGTTCAAGCTAAGAGAGTAATTGTCAAGAAAAAGAAGAAAAAAACTTGTCACAAACACTTCTTCCCCACAGACAGGAGGTGGGGAAGAAGTGAAGAACAGGAGATATTAGTCTTCAAAAAAGCTGCCTTGTGTATGCACAGTTCCCCAAATGAAAGAGGAAAGCACAAAGTAAGATGCCTTTAATCATAATTAATATGTATGTATTTTAATAACTAGGGTTTTTACATGTTTAATACATTATTATTTTAACTTTATTTTATCAATATTCTTATAAGAGAACTGTCATATCTTAGTCATTCTTTTCTACACAATCCATGACAGATAACTTCAAGATAGTCTGCTGGAAAATCAGTCAGTGCTTCCCCAGGTTATCAGAAAATAAGACAAAACAAAAACAAAATGCTACCCTTGAAACACACCTCATGCATTCACATATAAGGTTTTCTTTCTAAGGACGCCCCCTACTTTTCCTACCCATCTCCAGTGAGCAAGCTGCTGCCCCCCCTGTGGTGCCTTGCCACCCGCCACCCACGTGCCACTTCGCCGCCCCCCTACCCACGTGTGCTGCTTTACTGTCTGCGCTCACGCCCCCCTGCCCACCGCCTGTGCTTGCCACCCCCACACGCACACCAGTCTCCCCCCCACAAGCACCCCCCCCGTGTATAAGACACACCTCCATTTTTAAGTAAATGTTTTTAAGAAAAAGTAGCGTCTTATACACAGAAAAATACGGTACTTCAAAATAATGTATTTAGGCATGTTCAGTCATTATTTGGTCCATATGATTCTATTTATGGTGTGATGCAAAGTAGGCCTTGGGCTCTCCCTCTCCCAGTTTCTTCTGCACATGAAGATCTTAAAAGCTGAACTAAATGATCTCACACATTTTAATGCAGGGCTTCCATAAGACTGCACAATATAACCTGCAAGCCCATAATAAGCTCCTGATCTCACCCTGAGATCCTAGGGGCCAAGTAACAACTGAACAATACAATGAAACTGAAGTTACACACTGGTGTAGCACAATGGGAAGGAAGTACCAGCTATAATTTCAAATGTAAAAATGTTTACCTTAAAACTAGACTCAAAATCTGTGTTCACTTTGAACATAAGCCCAAGTCGTAAATGAATTTCCTTGGCGCGGCAAAAGCTGGGATCAACATAAAGCACCTCCCGAAATGCTTTAATTGCCCTGGGAATAAAGAACACACATTGGAATGTTAAAGTTACAATAAGTGGAATGGGTCCCTGTGAAAAACAACACATAACTACTTTTTTTAGAAACTCAGAGTGAGGTACAATATATTCTGACAAGTCACACAGTAACACTCATGTATTCAGTGACAGCTTGTAACTTTATTAGGGATGGCAGAGAAATCTGCAATGAATTCAAATGTTATTTATCTCTATGAATAGGACATGTATTTTGCAGGACAAGCTTTTTCTAACTTGAACAATTTGAAGAAAAAAATCTGTGAGGCAGGTTTGCATAGGTGTGCATTAGTGCTGATGTGCATTTGCAAACAGTAACACAATTCTTGTATGTAAATATGATTCCATTAACAAGTGGATAACAGAACAAAAGATGCCTGACAATCCACTAAATGCAGACAGAACCAATTTAACCAAATCTGTATATACCTATTCCTCATTTCCAAGGGAAGTTATGAAGTAACAGCTGGAATTTTCACCACACAATTAGAAATAGAACATTTAAATTTTAGTGACTCCTTTAATGTAATATGCATATTTCAATTTCAGAACAATGATCAATTAAGTGTATTAGTCAATACAAACACAGATGAACAGTTAAAACTTACTTCAATGTCAGCAAGAAAAAGACATTTCAATCATGTTTCTAATTTTATGTGTCATGCATTTCCTCAACAAATATGCATACTAATATGTTGCTATAGCAATTAAAAATGCTGATTTGCAATTGAATAGAGACTTTCCAACATTAGGAGCATAATTCTTAAACATTGGTCAAGCTGCTTGCATGACTTCCACAGCAACATCTTTTCAAAGAAAGAAAGAAAGATATCTGGGAAATGCAAAGATGTCTGTCTGGTTATCTCTGAATGAATGTAGGGGACTAAACAAGACTGCTTATTTGATGAATCAGTGCTCAAATGCAGAAAGAGAGCTCACAATTATTGGGAATAATGTTTTTCCATATTAAAATTCCATGCTGTCAGAATTATCATTTGAAAACAGAACAAACTGTAGAATGGGGTGGGCACATGTCAGCAGTAGGTAGGGCCAAAGCCAGCACTGTGCAAGGAAAAGTCAAAGGTGAATAGATTTGTCCTTTCTGTCATCTCCTTTTCTCCCTTTACTTCTTCCTTCCTAGCCAGATGCCTTCCAGGGAAGGGCCACCTTACAAATGCCAGAGATCTGACCTGCTCACATGCAGAAATCAGGCTGAAGTATGCTACCCTAGTGCCACTTTCATCCCTGATGATTAGATACTTAAAGGACAAAACCAAAACAAAACAGAGCATGAGTATAAGATTGTACAGAAGATGATTCTGGGAAGAAACAGAATCTTCTGGACCCTAATACTTGTCCCTTACTAATTCATTTATTTAACTATTAAGGTATTTTTATCTAACAGATTTAAAAATATATATTTAAGTGACTCAGTGTATACCCAAGCCTTTCTGCTGGAAAATTGTATTCAAGGTGGTTAACAATAAAAGTCATTATTTAACATAAAGGCTTAATTAAAACAATTGTAAAACAAATACATTCAAAACAATATCAACAGAATAAAAACAGTATGCAGAGCAGCTTACATACCAAAGGTTTGCCTGCACAAAAACTTCTGCTGGTAGAAGGACAACAGAGAGTGGGCTTGCCTGACCACTCTTGGCAGGGAGTTTTAAAGTCTAGGAACTGCCTCTCTTGCCTCCCCACCAAATGTACATCTGAGGATGGCAGCACCATAAGAAGATCCTCCAGCTGAAGAACTTAAAACCTGAGTAGGCTCAAGTAAGAAAATGTAGCATTTCATGCAACCTGGTTCCAAGCTGTATAGGGCATCACAGGTCAAACATCACTTTGAAATGATGCCCAGAAACACTGGAAGCTAGGAAAGCTACAGTAAAGTCCAGTTGCTTAACTGTAACTATCATTCTTCGAGTGGTCATCTGTGTATCACACACAAACAGTTGTTTGGAAGGTTTCCTAGCTAGATTCCAGTTTGGCAGGATCTCCTCCCGTTCCTCCCTCCAATATATCTAGGAGGGGTTCATGTCTACTTCTGCAGTTTCACTGAGACAATTGCTGTGAATGGCTGACCTCAAGCCCAAGTACAATGCAATTTAGTTGCTCAAAGATGCTGGAGATGAATGACACTGATGTGGGGTCACCGTGTGGGTTGTGTGAATGCACAAATGACCATTCCAAGAACAACAGTAACAGGTAAGCAACCTGACTTTCTTCTTTGTGGTCTCTGTACATCACATACATGGGCAACTAGCAAGCTTACCCTGAACTGGTGGTGTGGAGGTGTTGTCAGCAGATAACTGCTGAGAAGACCACTCTAACAAGGGAACAATTTTGTCTAGTGTGGACATTAAACTGATAGTGCTTGACAAATGTCAGTGGTGTGGACCATGTTGCAGCTTGTTGTGAGCTGCATTATCTCCAACAAACACAAGCCTCAAACTGCTTCTTTTGCTCTTGTTGTGTCTACGTACATATCATCCAGCCAAGTCTCTGAGCATGCAGAAAGCAGTCTGTTGAGCCCAAACCTCAGCCTGATTACTACCCAAAGCTCCCCTTATGAATCCATCTGTGTCCCCCTGCAGGAGGCGGCATGCCTTTCTGTGCTGAATTGGGGTACTCTTTGGTAAAGATGGTGAGCAATCAGGTCCACCTGCTCACAAGATGGAGGTTTCTCCTTGGAGGAACTGCCCATGTCAGCATTTCCCTCCTAGGGCTGTGACTGCCCAACATTCCCAGGGTTTAATTGTTTGGTCTTCCTGCTTGCCCTCGAAATAATATCCCCTATCTGATACCTCCTGCTGGGTCTCAAGACCTTGAACAACCCTCTGTTGTTCAATCCCATTAATCAATGGTATTCAGATTCTTCAGATTCTTTGCTGAATCTGAATCAGCAAAACTGGTATGGCTCATGTCCGGTGGGAATGCTTGCCAGAGCCTACCATTACACTTACTCACAAAATCACTTCGCAGAGATCAATTAGGGAAATGCCAGCAGGGAGGGTCGACAAGGTGGCCACTGCCCTTGTAGAGTGTTGCCCTGGGTCTTTCAGGAAGTTGCAGTCTAACGCTGGGAACAATTGACAGCAAAAGAAGGGACGGCAGAGAATGAGGCGGCGGGATGGAGTCACTGAAGCAGTCAGCGTGAGCTTAAGTGGACTCCGGGGGATGGTGGAGGACAGGAAGGCCTGGAGGAATGTTGTCCATGGGGTCGCAATGGATCGGATGCAACTTCGCAACTAACAACTAATAAGATCATTTTGATCACCCAGTGTGCCAGCTTTTGAGATTTATTGGTTCGCCTCTACCTTTCACCATAGAAGACAAAAAGTCTCTGGGTTTGATTAAAGGATTCCATATGGGATCAGCAGAATGCAAGGACCCTGTGTATGTCTAGGCTGTGCAGAGTGGACTCCATCAGTTTGGATGGGTAGTGAAGAAAGCCGGCAAGACTGTGTCCTGATAAAGATGAAATGGTAAGCAACCTTTGGGAGGAAAGAGCAATCCGAACATAAGACTGCTTTGTGAAAGGTGAGGTGTGGCTGAGTGATTCAGAGGGCACACAATTCACTGGAAAGGACCTGCAGGATTTGCAGAGAGGTTCCAGCTCGGAACAAAGGGTCAAATTTGTGGGGCAATGTTCTGCAGCCTTTTCAGGAACTGATGTGACAGTAGATATGAAAAGTCTAAGAAGGCTTGGACAGGAGTGTAGAAAGAGGAATCACTGCCATGTCAACCTTGACAGATGATTGTTTCAGGCCTCAGAGTGGGCAGTCAGTCAGATACCTATTAGACAGAGGCCTGGTGTGGACCAAAGGACTCCTATTCAGCAAAGGTAGAAAATGTTGCTTTTTTTGTCACATATGATCACCTTGTGGATGGTTTTAATGACGTGCCAAGGACTGCGTGGATGACTGGTTGTCAGTGTGTGACCTGTTTTATTAGTGGACGATCTTCCAAACCCATTAGGTACAGGGTGTTGAAGGTGTTGTGCAGGTGCCTGGTGGCATGACTACTGGCCTGATATTCCTGTCAGTTCACAGTAAGATCTCACTTATCCCTGTTCTGATTATGGATAAGGGAAATGACCTTGTATATGTCATCAAAAAGCTTGGTGGCAAGCTGGGTGGGGTTGATTTGGCTCAGCTTTGCTCATTTGGACTTTTGGTGCAGGTTAGGGGGCTGAGATGGGGTTAGTAGTATCCACAAAAATACCATCTGCTTACCAGGGAGTTCTTATGCTAATTAAGGATTTATTCACTTTCTTTTAAAACCCACTGCTGATTAGCCTCAAGTCCTACTGGATGGCACTGAAATTACTCAACTACCAAAATTTCTGCACACCACTATGGTTAGCAAAGAAGGCTTACTTTGCTGCCTCCATCACATCTTCAAGTAGCCATCCAGCACAGCTCATCTAAGTGATTTCAGGATTTCTATCATGGTCCCCAGTAAATCTATATTGGAACTCACAAGGCCTGCTATGATCCTTTTGTGAGGTATTCTGAAGATAAAATAGCTTGATTTCATGCCAACTTGACTGCTACTTTAAGTACGTAACTTGTTGAGGTGTCCAATACACCATCTGGTCCATCTATAGATATCCATCTCATATTTGGTCATCTTGTTCTTCTGCTTTTGACTTTTCCCGATAGAAGCACGATTGTCTTTTCCAGTGAGTCTTGCCTCCTCATAAAGTGTCCATAGCTCTAGTTTTGTAATTTTTGCTTCTAGGGAAAGCTCTGGTTTGACTAGGACCCTTTCTGGAAGCCCAGGGTATTTGCACAGCTCTCCTCCAGCACGTTTTGTACACATCATTTTTCTTCCTGTTACTTTTCACACCTACATTGTAATTGGGAATACAGTAGTTTGGATGATCTTGGCCTTTGTCTTCAGTGAAACATCCTTACATTTGATCATATTTTCTTAATTCTTTCATTGCTGCCTTCCCAAGTCTCAGTCTTCTTTGAATTTCTTGGCTGCAGTTGAGCCAAGGTATGAAAAATCCTTCTTCATTGCTGACAGTAACGTTCTGTAATTCTTTTGTAGGCATGTTTTTTGTTTTTGTTTTATTAAGCTGCAGTCCTGTTTGTGCTTTCATTTTCATTTCAATTCATTTCATTTTTTCTTTCATTTTCATTTCAATTCATTGCTACTTTCTGCCAGTAATAGCTTATCATCTACATATCTTACGTTATTGATGGCTCTTTTGACAATTTTCACTCATTCCTCTGATCCTAATCCAGCTTTCTTTCCAATATGCTCCAGCATAATGATTAAACAGATAGGAAGATAAAATATACCCTTGTCAAACATCTTTGCCTGTAAGAAACCATTCTCTTTCTCCATATTCTGTCCAAGGCACCCAATTCTTTCAGGGACCATCCATAGCTTCCTGTGATCCACACAAAGATACTGCCATGGTCTGTAATGCAACAGACGGCTCCTTTAAAAAATCATTTAGTGCGCTCCAGTAACCAATGTATATTTGCAATATGATCTCAAGTGCCTCTTCCTTGTTGGCATCCAGTTTGAACATCAGGCTTTTCTGGTCCTATATAGACTTTTTTTTCTTGAAACTTCTTGTTCATCACTTTGCTTACATGAAAAATTGCAAACTTTGGTTTGATAAGCCAACTGCAATGTTCCCGAACAGAGGTAGCATGACCACTGTAGTCCATGCATTAAGTACATTTAGATTACTGTAATGTATTTTATGTGGGGCTCCTCTTTTGTTTGACCCAAAAACGGCAACTGATGCAGAATATGACTGCTAAATGGGGCTTCTGTTTGTATGCCAGGGTTAAACACCAATGTTAAATACACTGGCTGCCTATTAGTACCCAACCAAGTTCAAGATCTTGCTGCTGGTATATAATATCTTGAAAAACTTGGAACCTGTTTACCTGATGACTTACCTTCCTAAATACAGACTTTTGTGATTACTAAGATAACTGATCAGCCCTTTTCCCTTGTCTGCTAGAGAAGGAAGAGAGTGGGAGAAAGTCCTGCTCTTGACACCAGTTGTATTCTGAAATTTTGGCTTTCAATGTTTAACCAATGAAAAATTATATAATTAATTTATTTATTTTAAAGTCTGATTGTGTAAACCACTTTGAGGTATTTTAGCTATTTTACATGGTATAAATTAGTTAACTAAATACATTTGCCTCCCAGAAGTGCAAACATTTTAATCAAGACAGCAAAACTGTGCTGATGTTTACATTTATAAGCTCCAAGCTTTTTCCTGAATCTATCTTTCTGTTCAGGTGAAGCTGGGTAATGAGACATAGCTAGGGAGGAAGAGCACAAGCTCTCCGAAGTACCTTTATGTACTTAAAGGGCTATGCATGTGTCCCTAAAGAAAAGAACAAAGTACTTATTTATCAAACACCAATAAGATGTTTATGCTAGTCCATTTAAAATTCAGTAGCCCACAGAAGGATGTTTATTAATTAAATTTCTAGCTCACCACATTCGCCATAAGGCTTCATGTTGACCAGTCATGAAACATCAATAGAAAAGTATTCCCTTGTCTTATAAATGGGAGGCCATAGCTGCTATCAGCTAACACAAGAATTTCAGTCCACCCACACCTTCCAAGAAGTTGAAAGCCAGGTTAAAAGTGGGTTCAGAAAGGTTATTGCTTTCATCCAGAAAATCCTGTAGCTAAGCAATACTCAGTATTTTTTTCTAAGTAGATTAGATCTTCAGTTGACAGGGTCATACTCATCACCAGAGGGCCAAACTATATCTGCTATGAATCAAATATTTAAACAGGTTTGCTTAACCTGTCTGCTTCTATTTTGAAAAAAAGCAGCTCCCCTAATCCTAAAGGTGGTCAGGATCTGGATGACAACAATGTTTAGCTGAATATCATCCTGTACTCCATGTTCATTTGTCACCAACGGTGTTGTTGGCAGTACATTGTACTTTTAGGGGCAAAAAGCAAACAAAAACAAGTAATTTATAGCAGCAAGCTAGTACAGGGCTCTGAATCAGATTGGAAATATGTTTTGGGAACAAGATTCTGAAAATGTACCTTTTCAAAAGAAGAAGTGGTCAGGTTAAATGTGCTCAATGAAACACTAATGTCCTCTGTAGTTTGGCCCCAGTAATTTCTTGAGAAAATGATCAGTAAGATGGTTAGCTTCCCCCTCTGGGCAGCAATATCTTCCAAAGATACATCAAGATCCCCATTCAATGAAAGTTCTAGATTTTTCATTTCAGAGTTTGTACCTATGTTTGTTATCCACTAGTCTGATGTTCTCAGACTTAAGAATCCTGGAAAATGTTCGGAAAAATTCTCAACTACTGTTTCTGGTACTACGGCTGCTTCAAACCACATTTTTTTCTTTTTCATAGTTTCACAGAGGGACAATGCCTTGGATATTAATAGGTTCTGCACTCATGGCTTCTGCAAATGAAGCAATCTCCTTGCTGACAGGAAATTCCCTCCCTCTCAATTCAGTCAGCATATAATTGACTAGCCACAAACAGATCAAGAGGATGGATTAACAATACTCATACTGTTTAAATAATTCTACATTATTTTTGTCCAACAGCAATTAATCTTAATGGCAGATATTTAATTGTCCAGTGATTCAACTCTCTCAATCTGCTGGTTGGCACTCCTTAAATTACCTGCCCAAGTATTTTTGTTTCCTGTCTGTCTTGAAATACATTCACCCCAAGTATTTGTTTTGTTTTTCAGTAAATTTATGCTCCCTGGGCAGCTTACACATTAAAAACAACAAAAACAGATTCACACATAAACTCATGGTGTGGATAAAGCAGAGAAAGAGATATGAAGCTGATTGGTGGGAGGTTTAGGACAAATAAAAAGAAGTACTTCTTCACACAATGTATAGTTACACTATGGAATTTGCTGCCACTGGAAGTGGTGATGGCCACCAATCTGGATGGCTTTAAAAGGGGACTGGACAGAGCCATGAGGGAGGCTATTTCAGGCTATTGGCCTTGCTATTTGCCCCTTTGAGCACGGGTGGCATGCCTGTATACACCAGCTGCTGCAGAGCTTGGGCAGATGGATTCTTGCACCCATTCTGCTTGAGTGATCCTGTGGGCAGCAGGTTTGCCACCATGCATGTGGAGTGCTGGACCAAATGGACCTTCGGTCTGATCCAGCACAGCTTTTCTTATGTTTAGTTAAACAGAACACTGGATTATATTATCTACTTCCTCCACCTGCCATAGCATTTTTTCCAGCAATATGGAGCTAAGACCTAGGCCAGCACATTTCAATATTATAAGAAATTATAGTAAGAAAATCCGTATTTGATATTCAGGATCGTCTACACCTGTATATACCTACCCGTCCCCTAAGATCAGTGCAGGAGGCCCTTCTGTGAGAGCCACCCCTCAGGGAGGTGAAAAGGGTGGCAATTAAGCAAAGGGCCTTTTCCACTGACACTCCCCTTCTCTAGAACTCCCTCCCTAGGGAAATTCATCTGGCACCATCTCTCTTTTTGGCACCAGTCAAAGACATATCTTTTTTTAAAAAATATAATATTTAGCCTTTATGAATGCTGTGGCCTTTTTATATTGCTATTGTATTGATGTTTTTAATCTTTTAAATGTTTTAACTGTTTAAATGTTTAAATGTGTTCTTATATATTTAATATATTGTAACCTACATAGAAAGGCCTTTTGGCAGTTATAAGTGGCCTATAAATACGTGTGTGCATGCATGCATACATGAATGAATGAATGAATGAATATTTGTTCCCAATTTCAACCACTATCTAAATTACAACTTGTTTCTTTTACCTCCCTAGGTACATAAACCAGACATGACTAAGCATTCACTTTCTCTCACTTATGTGTGCACTATGTGTAATTGTTTTTTTGTGTTCAAAATATTTGCATGAATCAAAGTTGGAACAAGCTATGTTAGTTTTTTGTCTCATAAACCTAATATTTCCTTAAGGCCTCTTTTGTACTTAACACTAAAGCATAGCATAACTCTTAAGTTATCAAATGTAAGGTCATGTATCCTGCTATGCGTCCTGCTTTTAACTAATCATGGTTTCCTACTGTGTCTGAAAACAACCAAGTGTGATTGATTTAATCTATGAGATACTGAATCACACTAGGCTCAAATTGCAATTCATGGTCCTGTCTACCTTGAGCAAACAGACTCTTACTGGCTAGCAAGTATTTTTTTTAAAGGAAATATTTTAGGATTTTTCCATTTCATTCCCAATATCCATAGGTTCACAGTAAAGTCAAATTATTTATTTAAACAAGATAGCACTAAAACTACAGACCAGCACATATTTCACAGAAACGTCAAAGCCCCCAGTTGCTTCTGCCACTTACCACTGAAATGCATTATAATGGAAGTAGACCAAGCCAAGGCCATATAAAAAGGCAGCATTCTGCAAGAAGAAATGAAACATTTTTAAAGAACAGATATGCAGAAATGCATGTTTTAAATTTTCTCAAATAATATTGAAGTACATTACTGACAAAGTGTTTAGTCACTGTCACATTTTAAAGTCTTGACATAAAATGCTTGATCAAAGTAGTAAAATATTATTCATATTGGCAAACATTTTACTATTGCTACATCCCAAAAATAAAGCTGCAATTGACACAGTAGACAAGTAGGACTAAGGAAACATGCAAGATATGAAATAAGGTTGTTGTTGAACAGCTAACATTCAAAGATATACCACTTCATTATGTTAGGTTATACTTCCTTTCTGACTAGTCACCTGAGGTCCTTTCACAGCAGATGAAATAACACTATTTTTCAGTCACTTTTTATTGATTATTTACATGAAATTACTGTTCTGCGTTTTTCCCATGATTCTCTGTCAAAAGAAAATCTAATTGTTAATTATTGAAAGAACGAAATGGCACACTCTTACATCAGCACCATTTTATCTGTGTGTGTGTGTGTGTTTCACTCTTATATTTAATTCACACTAATGCCTTCTCACCTGTATATTTTAAAAACATGTAGTTAATTCATGTTATAGTACTTAAACTTGATGTCTTTCTAGGCGGTATTGTTTTGCCATCATGTCTTTTGTTTTTTGTTTGTGATATTTTAAACTTAATTAGTGTTACAATAGTTAGCTTTTTAAAAGGCCATTAAAACAATTGCCCAATATTGCCTTTAAAAAGTGTTGTAATGCAAATTAAATAATTGATTTAAAAATTAATTAAAATAATGCATTCAGAATTCTCCCTTCCCACACTATTATGGACAGAACACACTGGGACATGCATACAGAAGAGATGCTAGATCTCCTGAAATGTGGACCATTAACTGCAATTCCACATGTAGCTTAGGGTTAAAGAGCAATAATTGGGTATCATGAGAAGCCACCTGTTTAGAAGCAATCCTGTATGTGGGTGGAAAGCAACAAAGCTCCTGAATGCAAAAGACAGATTACTAGGTCCACTTTTAGATAAGGATTCTCTCCTGTCTTTCCTGTTCAAATAAGCAGAGTAAAAACAGAAAAGAAAAAAAGAAAGAAACCTCATGTGTGATGAAGGAAAAAAAAGGGGGGTCAAGGTAGGGGGTTTGCATATTTAGTGCTCTGCAGAGGCAAAGACAGGAGGGCACAGGCAGCTGGTATTATACATCATGGCAAATAAACCCATTCAATAAACCTAACCAAACACTATCTTTCTTCCTTTTCTTAGGAAAGGGAGAGATACCAATAACACCACAGCTACAGTATATGTACATATCCCACTCTCTCCAATAAATCCAGGACTGGAAACGGTATTAAAATGGACATGGGACATTTATTTATTTAGAACTTTTCTATACCGTCCCATACTTAGACGTCTCGGGATGGTTTACAACAAATTAATCCTAAAAATAGAAATAAGAATAACAGTTGCCCAGCATCCAATTTTAAAATATAAACTCACTAACTAAAACAAGTTAACAATTAACATACTGGGAGAATAAAACGGTTTTCACATTATGCCAAAAGGAAAGAAGCGCTAGTGCCAGGCGGACCTCTCTGGGGAGCTTGTTCCACAATTGCGGCACCACCCAAGTGTGGCGGGATTAAAAATGAACAATTATAAAAGCTATAATTGCATATGAAATAGCCTTGTAAGTCGCCTTGTATGTAAGTCGCCTTAGGTTTCTTCACAAGAGGAAAAAAAGGCAGGATATGAAGATGATGATGATGATGATAACACCACTGGTTATAATCTCTCAGCTCAACCCACCTCACACGGTTGTTGTGAGGATAAAATTTTGATGAGGGGATATAAAGTACATTGTACATTGTTTTGAGGTCCTTGCAAGAAAGCCAGGCTATAAACAGAAAAATAAGTAACTTTAGCTAAAACATTAGGCTGCAAGAAGTGCCTACTCAGAACCTCCATCACATGTCCATTCCATTCTTGAGCATTGCCAAGACTATGGTATCAGAAATATGGTTTCAGACACTAATAACAAACCCAAGAATATGGATTATGTCAGAAAACTGAAGCAATGAACATGTATGATGCGGCGTGCTTGCTCACTGACACTTGGCCACAACTATCAAGAATGCATAGAGATTATGTGTGAATTGAGTCTCTCGGTTGCTCATTGTTAACAAACTGCAGGTAACACATTTGTGTTCATACATTATGACAACCCAGGATTCAAGAACCCCTTGGGTTAAGCATCATCTTTAAAGCAGGTTTATGCATTTAAAAAAACAGAGTAACAACAACAATAGGATTAGAAGTCATTTACAGTTGTATTTCTGACATTAGGCATTATAAAATTTCAATTTTTTTTAACCTTGGGGGATGAAACACAGATAAAGAGACACACACACACACACACTATATATATAAAAATATAAGCTTTTTGTAAAACCAAATTATTTTTGTTTTTCCCAGAATTTCACCAAATAACCAAATAGTTTATAAAAGCTTTCTTGGACATTCATGTGAAAAGTTGTCCATGGGAGATGTTTTCCAATCCAGTACCAGACATCTTTGATGAAATCGATTTCAAGTATTTGCATTCCTTGCGTAGTCCTAGTTAGCTATTAACATATGCCTTTAATGTAATATTTTTGTTTTATTTCTAAAGATTAGAACCTCAATTTAATGCAGTCTCTTCATGATCTATATTGAATAGTAACTGAATGCTTCTTATGCAAACATTGGAATATGAGAATTTGATATGCCCTCATTTTCTTTATACTTTATTTTTATCACTCCAGTTTTAACATACCTCTAAAATAACTTAAGCCATGTTCCTTCCAAGGTTTCATATTACCTAATAAATCTTATTTTAATTTTTAATTCTAATAAAAACTTGTGAAAGACCCAGACTTAACTTATTTTCCGTTCAAGGATTCATTCTAATAATGCCTAGTTACCAGAGCAAAATGCAAGAGCAATTGTTTGTGATTTAATGTTTAATTACATTCTCCAACTTAATTTTTTTATCTGACAGAAGCCACACCAAAGTTAAAAACAGGGAGAATGATTTAGATAGGGACTGGTAACAGAAAATGGGGACATCTGCAACATATGCTGAAAAAAAGCAACAAGGACCTGATATTGGAAAAGTAGTTTCAAAGCATACAAACCATTTTCTGAAGTAGATGCAGGAAAAAAAAGTATTACAAAGCTAAGTTAGGCATTTGCTCTTCACAAGAGAACAGAATATACTGAAGACAAAAATATGAATTCAGGGAACCTACTTCTGCTAGTTACTTTAAACATGCATAGGATTAAACTGTATTATTCCCATCACCTTTCTTTATTCGTTCCAAACTTGGGCTCCACTTGTCATCCAAGTTGCACCTGTATCCATAAAGACACACTCAACCCTTCCTCTGTTCTGCCCTCTGTCCAGTTCAACCACTTACACCCATGTCTTGCCTGCACCTGTTCAGATGGCTAATGTTCAGGCTAGGCTGCTCTTATCTGGGTAGTCCAAGCAGACTCAGCTATAGTGCATCTTGGATACACTGCTTCTGCTGCCACCATGAGCCAATCCAGACTGTGATGCCCATGGCAGATGCGTGCACGGTTTTTGCTGCTGTTGCCATCCCCAGGCCCAATGTTTACGGAGGTATGATTACAAATGCCACTCCGTTCTACTTCTTCACCTGCTGTGATCAAAGCTATGCAGATGAGAAGAGAGAACGGACCACTGAAGCTTCTGGTGATAACAGAGTCACTGCTACAATGGGCAGGCCATGGGTGGGCATATATTTATGAAACAATATACTTTGAAAAACTGAAAACATATTTTAGAGAAGATATATTATTGGAAATTTTTTTGAAACATTTTCACAAAATATTATCGTTGCCCTCAGGCCCATTCTTTCAGTGTGGAAAAACCTGTATTCAGGTTGAAGTCAGAAGCTGTTAAGCAGTGATGGTGAAAAGTGAATCAGGCACAGCAAAAGCAGGAAACATTAACAGAAGAAATGCCTATATAGTTGCAAATACAAAATGGAAGGAAAGAATAAAGGTTATATTCAGACATAACAGTGTTTTAGCAGTGTGAAGAGAACCTCTTTCTTTTTTCCAGTTGTGGCATTTGAGGGTCATCACCATGACAGCTGAACAAAGAAACTTAGGAACTTCAGTTAATTAACCCACCAATTGCCACCAAAACCTGTGTTACATCTCAACAGTAACTGGTGAGAATGGAAGGGTCAGGCATTTCCTGAAACATTCCATGTATTTGATGACAATGAGAAATATTGGGGGGGGGGGGGTTAAGTGGCTGTGGGTTTTTGTTTTTGTTCACCCTCATTTTCCATAATGTTTTTAACAGACTTTTAAAATTTCAAGTAAAATACTGGACAAGTGATTTCAAAATGAAGGATTTATTCCATTTCTTCTAAAACCTCTGCTAATTAGCCTCAAGTTCTACTTTTTAACTAAACCAATATTAACAACATTTCTGGGAAAGAACATGCTTATTTATCTTCCACAAAAAGAACAGAAATGGGTCACTGAAAGCAGGGATGGAATTGAGAAGCATGAGAGGGGAAAAGAGGCTGAGACTGAGAGAGAAGGTTTGGGGGGGGGGTACAGTTGCTTACCTGTAACTGATGTTCTTCAAGTGTGCATTCATACATGTGGGCTCGGTGCCTGTGCAGGGCCTGTTGTTGGGAAGATTTTCCTAGCTTAGCTCATTTTGGCAGGAGCCCCACACCCTTCCTCCCCCCAGTATATAAGGAAGGATTTTTTTGCAATTTTCCTAGTTTGACTGAAAGATCAATATTTTGGCCTTGGAACCAAGATGGTAAAGCTGTGAAGTTTGAATTGGCCTACGTGATGCAACATGGGTCATGAAGAAAATTATGAAGCTAGTAACACCAATGTGGGGTTGGTGTGAAGGCACAGAAGGGCACTCAAAGAACATCATTTATAGATAAGC